AGTATATCGTCGTTGTGGATTATGAATTTCTAATGTTTTAATATGCTAGAATTTAAAAACGGTTAGTTTAACATTGTTGTTCGTTATGAAATTTGAATCTTGAATTTCTAATGTGTTAGAATTTTAGAACCGTTAGTTTAACGTTGTTGTGCGTTATGAAATTTGAATCTTGAATTTCTAATATGTTAGAATTTTAGAACCGTTAGTTTAACGTTGTTGTGCGTTATGAAATTTGAATCTTGAATTTCTAATGTGTTAGAATTTTAGAACCGTTAGTTTAACGTTGTTGTGCGTTATGAGATTTGAATCTTGAATTTCTAATGTTCTAATGTGTTAGAATTTAAGAACCGTTAGTATACCGTCGTTGTGAGTTATGAAATTTGAATCTTGAATTCCTAGTGTTCTAATGCGTTTGAGCATGCATGACTTGCAAACGAAAGATCTCACAGGGTTCAATAGGGAAAGGCTTTTGCTAAACCATACTTCCACATCTACTGATGTAACTATTTTAACGGTGACTATCCTACAACATTCAGGGATTGTGCCATTGTACGAGATCTTGAAATCTCACCTATCAAAGAAGTGGATACAAGCGGGCAGAGGATCAAACAATGCATTCTTTCTTAGAGAAACAAAGCTCAATCTTCATGTTACTCCTGATGTGGATAAAACAAGTTATATGATGATGATGATGATGACGACGGTCTTGAGTAAGCTTTGCTTGCTATCACGAGGTTAGACAAACCTGAAGCATTCACATATTACTTTTGAGTGCAACATTCACAAGAGCAATCAACTAGGGCAAATTCAGTTGACTAGAATATATCATACATTAGTTACAAAGAGTCTCCCATCTCGTCACAAAATAATCGAGGCTATCATTTTGCAATCACAGCTGGTGACCCCGGAATGAAAGATAAGTCTGTTCAGAACTTGATACTTGCTGGATGAATGTGTTGCTTGAGAGCCGTGGAGTCAAACCTGTCTGTGGGAAGAAAACTCTGCGAATAATCAGGTTTGGAGTGAAGTGAAGAAGGTATGATGTTCCACATCTGTTGAAGAATGCTCCGGGGACGAGTGTCAAGCAGGTTATTAAAAAAAGTACAAGTCAATCGAACAAAGGGAGTGAATTCTATGAGAGAGAAGTTCATCGGAGATGTTATGAAAACATGCTATCAAGCGAAAGTTCATCTGAGAAAGGAACTTTCAAGTATGAAATGATTGATATAGGAGTTGGAAGCAGTAACAAGGTTGACTGAAGTATTCAAGCACCGGCAAAGACAAATATTGGCATCGGTCTATAGAACCTAAGAAGAGGCCAAAATTTACCTGGTTTCAAGTCTTGCTAAGCCAACGGCCGTCCTTGCCCTACTCGCGAAAGGCTGAGCAAAATCGAGGTGGAGAAACGGAAGACAGATTGCCGATGTGGACGGCTAGAGTAACTATAATTTGGAACATGACACACAAAGTAGTAGGATTTAGGAAAGGAGGGGGTACTTTTTATGATTTTTTAGGGTTATAATAGAACGTTAGCGACTAAACTCTGTGGAGCGAGGTGTTCATCTCGACATTCACAAGCCACGTGAATGTCGGCCATGCCGCATGCTCTGCACATGTTCACAATCTGCACGTAGAAAGTTGGAATGTCGCTCGTGGAGCTCACCGGATCTTGTGTCAGACTTAGATCCTGCAGTGCGCAGCTCCGATCAGCAGTTCCGATCAGGAACTTGGAGGAAGTGAGCGAAGCGCGGGAGGCAGGGAGGGAAGACCTGAGCAAGGCGTGCAAGCGGAAGGCAAGGAGAGAGGAATGGAAGTGAGCGATGCGCGGGAGGCAGCGGGGGCAGGGGCAGGGATCACCTCCCTCACATTCCCCCAAAAGAGGGGAGCCCTTAGGAAGACCTGAGCCAGGCGTGCAAGCGGGAGGCAGGGAAGGGAGAGGAAGTGAGGAAGGCCTGGAAGCCTGCGCTCGCCCAGACCCAAGGGCAGGGCAGGGATCAGTAACCTCATTCGGAGGACGTAGCACAGACGACCTATATATATGGGGTGAGATGCAGTTCAGCCGCATCAGGGTCAAGTCGTCCATTCTGTTCCAATAGCCACTTGAGTTACAAGCGCCGTCTCTCACTGTCTCTTTAGACCAATTCTGTCTGGGACGAATCTGGTTTGGATCATCTGTATACGAATTCGTCTATGGTTGTTTATACAAGATTCAACGTCGAGCGCACCACCATGAAAATCTCTGTAATGCTCACTGTCCTTGCTTCTCTACTTTGTCTTCAAAGAACTCTTGCGCATGATGGTTCTGTTATAGAGACAACGATGTATGATGTCTTCACGGTGGAATGTTACGCTTATGAGAGCAACGATTACGGCGATACCACCGTTCAAGATTATTATGGACTTTGGGGAACTGTGGAGCTACGTTGAATTGTCGTTGTGCGTTATGAGATTTGAATATTAAATTTCTAATATTCTAATGTGTTTGAATTAAAGAATTGTGAGTATACCGTCATTGTGTATTATGAGATTTGAATCTTGAATTCTCAATGTTCTAATGCGTTTGAGTTTGAGAACCGTCAGTAAATCGTCGTTCTGAGTTATGAAATTTGAATTTTGAATTCCCAATGTTCTAATGTGTTTGAGTTTGAGAACAGGTTGGAAACCATTGTTGTGAGTTATAAAATTTAAATCTTGAATTGCCAATGTTCTAATGTGTTTGAGTTTAAAAACAGGTTGAAAACCGTCGTTGTTAGTTACAAAATTTCAATCTTGAATTCCCAATGTTCTAATCTGTTTGAGTTTGATAACCTTCCGCAAATTGTCGTTGTGAGTTTTGAATTTTGAATGTTCTAATGCGTTTGAGTTAAAAAAACATTTGTAAACCATTGTTGTGAATTATAAGATTTAAATCTTGAATTCTGAATATTTTAATACGTTTGAATTTGAAAACCGTAAGTAAATACTCATTGTAAGTTGTGAGATTTGATTCTTGAATTCCTAATGTTCTAATTTGAGCTTGAAAACTGTCGTTATGAATTATGAGATTAGAATTTTGAATTCCAAATGTCTAATGCGTTTGAGTTTGAAAACTATCATTATGAATTAAGAAATTTAAATTTTGAATTCCAAATTTTCTAATGCGTTTGAGTTTGAAAACTGTCATTATGAATTATGAAATTTAAATCTTGAATTCCAAATTTTCTAATGCGTTTGAGTTTGAAAACTGTCGTTATAAATTATGATATTCAAATTTTGGATCTGAAAACCTATAGTAAATCGTCGTTGTGAACTATGAGATGTAAATCTTGAATTCCGAATGTTTTAATGCGTTTGAGTTTGAAAACCGATAGTAAATCGTCGTTTTGAATTATGACATGTGAATCTTGCATTCCGAATGTTTCAATGTATTTGAGTTTAAAAACCGATATTATATCGTCGTTGTGAGTTATGAAATTTGAATTTTAAATTCCAAATTTTCTAATGCATTTGAGTTTGAAAATTGGTAATAAACCGTCTTTGTGAGTTGGATTTGAATTTTAACTTCTAAATGTTCTAATGAGTTTTAGTTTGGAAATTGTTAATAAACCGTAGTTGTGAATAGTGAGATTTGAATTTTAACTTCCTAATGTTCTAATGCGTTTTAGTTTGGAAACAACTAACTAACTAAGGTTTATTAATTGTGAATTATGAGATTTGAATTTTGAATGTTCTAATGAGTTTCATTTTGAAAACCGTTGATATACAATGGTTGTGAGTTTTGAATTTTGAATTCTAAATATTATACTTCATTTGAGTTAAAACCGTTAATAAATGATTTTTGTGTATATGAACTAATGTCAATGAAGCTTGACATTGTGACTACAACCTTACAATTATCATTACACTTAATCCATGTGGATTGCACCAACCACACATTCATTAATTTTGACGTGTTTGCATTAAACCCGTTAGTAAATTATCTTTGTGGATATGGACTAATGTTAATGAGTCTTGAGATTGTGATCCAACCCTACAACTAATACTACACTTAATCCACGTGGATTTCACCAGCCACACAAGTTAGGGTTAAGAGAGATTGATAGATGAACATCGCACTCATTAAGCTTGCTGTTGACGGGATGTCCGGATCATAAAGAATATGAACTGTCTACCACCTGACTTTCGCCCTCACTTAAACTATCAACTTACTTCCTACATGATGCAATTCTTCATGGCCCTCACTCTCAACTTAATGATCCACCGAATGAATACTTTACTCCTCATGGCTAACCAACCGTTAACCACCGGAATATGGGAATACAAGAAACCAAAAGTTCATCCATGGAACCTATCGTTGACAACACTGGGCACCTCGTCTTATCAGTGAGTTCGAGTTGATATCATAAATCTTTAGTAAAACTCACTGTGACCGGAATGGGAGGATGGGCAAACCCAATTAGTTGACAGTATGCACAGCTGTGAGAAGACGTACCAAACCCCATCGTTGCCTGACTGTAGTAGAGTTACCATTTTAGGCCTCTCTGTTTCATCCGTGAATTGCGATGTGGTGCGGATGTAATTTCAACCGCTGTGAGAAGCAACTAACCAACCTATCGGCTGGTTGGCTGGTAGATAATTGGCAGATCATTGCACTTTGAATCTGATGGCATCGAAACTGAAAGCTAGAATTCCACTCTTGCATGACACTCTTGATTGAATGTTCTTCTCTTCCGGATGCGAAGGTACTTCTCGGACAACGTCAAAAAGACTCGAAGGATTCACAATGCCCCGCGATAAAATACATCGGGGCATTGCGAGAATCGAACTCGCGGCCTCTTGCACCCAAAGCAAGAATCATACCACTAGACCAAATGCCCGCTTCTGCATGGTATGAGAAGAAATATTATATAAACTTTATTTTTATAAACAAATAAGGTCAAAATAATTGGAGCTCGACAGGACACGAAGAGAACTAATAGGACCGTCCAGAATTCCAATCGACAGTATCACTGTCAGTGGATGTCAGTGACAATTTGACTAAGATTCTCTTTGGTACGTAGTCTATGCTCAGCTGCGTTCGACCCAGTTGTTGATCAGATTCCAAATTTCTCAAGCTCCCATGTTCCTAATACGTTCAGGGAGGGTGAGAGAGTGTCCATTGTCCGGGGGGATGGGAATGGACTCGGTCTGAAATAGTAAGCTCGGCCTTCAGAGGAACGAAGACCGCAGGTGAACATGGATGGCTCTCTGTGGCATTCTCTCATCCTTATTAAGTTTAATGATTCAGCGTTACAGCTTCCACTTCGGGAATGAATTCATTCGTCACGGACGCAATTTCAAAGTGTGCACCCTCTCTGTTCGTCGTTTTTCCCCTTCTGGCCGCATGATCTTAATTCGAATCTCAGCAGATGCAAAGCTGTAAGTCAGGACCATGTTTCTGAAACCTCCTTACTTTGAGTTTTTTTTCTGATTCTGAATCTTTGTCAAAAGATGAGATGAGAAGTTATCGATTTGCAAAGCACCTTTCATTTAACTTAGACCTCCCAGATTTTGCTTCGCCATTTGATCGTACAGAGAGCAAGCAATTTGTGTTTGAGTTTGCTATTTTGCATGATGTAGACAATTTGTAGATGCGATTCAGCTGATCGTGTTTCGTGTTTCGTTTGTGTAAACTAAGGAAATTGAATTGTTTTGAATGTTTTTCATACTTTCTCACTATTACGGTGTAAAAGTCTGCTGAGCTAGAACTTTGAGGCACAATCAGTCACTTCAACCAACGAACTTTAACTTTTGCTCCTACGCAAATTTTTACAGTAGATTAGTCCTTCGGACTCTCGGCTTGTCTGTACAGAGCGATTTGAACACCGAACATTGAGTGTCCATTAGGACAATCTCAACTGATTCTTAATCTGTTCAAATGTGATCCCTTGCAGCTACTTTTGACCCAGCTGCAATTCAAATTCAAAGTTCGATTTCGAATTGAACTTTGATTACTGTTGGCACAACTGCACCCTCCTCTTTCTAACCAACGCCACTTTGTCTTGACAGGACAGCAAAGCTTGGATTTTTCTTCCATGACTTTACCGATCTTGTGTGATCTCGTTGGTAACGAACGTCATGGATTCGGCCAGGCAAGCCGCAGTGCCTCGCTCTTTACTCACTTTGTTACACATGTGGGTGGCCAACTTGGCAGACCAATTTTTTGGAGAACTAGAATGTATGAGGACTGTTTAGGATTGAGAGTACCCTGAGAATTCAATTTTGCGCCTCCCACGACTTTGGTTGCATACTCGACGTTTCTGCAGAGCTGAATGGTCTTTTTTATTTCTGTATGTTGAATGAGCAGATTTCTGCCTCGATTGTTAGGAGAACATTTTGAACAACTCTGCGCTGGTTGCTGGAATTTCTGAGCTAAACTTTCATTAGCTCAAACATCGGCCAATCATTTAGAACTGGTTGGTGGCTTTTTCACATGCTTTGTGCTATCCAGAAAGATCTCTCAGTTTGTCTCTGTTCAGAGCCTAGCCTCCATTCCATCATTAATGCTAAACTTCTATTCTTCCATACGGAGCTTCTCTTCCAGTTGGCAAATCATCCACTTCAGCTAATTCCTGCCTAGAAAAGCAGGGGTTCCATTTGTTGGCTACTCTTCAATGCAATTTCTTTTTATGCTGCTCACGATTGGGGTGTGGAATTGCTGAGTGAGAAGTTTAGAAACACTAAGCTCAATTCTTCACTTCCTGTTCACGAGTTTTCTCTTCTTTTTTGCCACGAAGCCCTTCTCAATCGTGCAATTCTCATTTTGACTGAGGATTGTCTTAGTTCTCCCATTGTCTTGACTGATCCCTTACCAAATATTTTAGGGTTTGGATTTGCTCTTTGAGAAGCTTGGAAATACTGCGCTGAATGCTTCACATCCTGCTCATGAGTTTTGTATCTTTTTTCCCTATCATCTGTTCTCAATTCTGGGAATGGCGTTAGGCCTTGTGGGGTTTGCTGAGCTCTTTCACTGTCTTTACTCATTGCATGCCTCATTTCCTGAAGTCAGATCACCCGGCTACGTCGTCAAAGAAGGTGGACATCGAACTCACCAATTTGGACGTTCTCTTTCTTTTTAGGATCAAGGTACGAAATCTCCACTTTCACGTTTAGGTTTTCTATCATTTCGAGTTCATATATGAAAGTGTCGAAAGTTTTCAGCTGCATTTCGGCCTGTATTTCAGAGACAGATCATAATAGTGCACAATTTAGGAGTGGTTTGTCCACCTTTTCTTTGCTTTTATTGGACTTCGGATGCATTGAAACAGGCCGCAAGTTCATCTAGTTTTAAGAGAAGCACACGATAACAGAGTTATCAACTTATAGGTGGTGCATGGGATTGACCTGATTGAAACTAGACCAGACATATTAGAGAGCGATTCGGTGAACTATAGCTAGAAAACAACAGGGTCCTCGTACTCACATATTCGGGTGCTTGTTGCTTGGTCAACCATCACGGGAAAGGTATTCGGTGGGTCATGAAGGTGAGGGATAAGGGCCATGACGGAATGCACCCATGGAGGATATTGAGATTTTAAGACCCCGATAAGTGATCGCCAAGGTCAATTGAGAGGTCATAATCTTGATGGTCCTGGGCAGCCCATCAACTGCAAGGCTCACTAGTGTGATGTTCACCCATTAATTCCTCTTAACCTTCGATTAGTGTGGCTAGTCAGTGGTAGGTTAAGTGGAGGGTTAAGCTGAACTTAAAACCCAGTTGGACTAGTTCTTTCGACTTGATGGATGACAGCACCAGGATTGGCAGAAAATTGACTCTTGCTGCTGGTGTCTAGGAGCATGCGCATCCTTGGCCTGTGAAACCTTGCACTCTGCACCCTGGATTAAGAAGAATTCACTTGAACATTTGAAACATTCATTCATTTTGAGTGCAACGGTGTGATGTTTCTGCAAGAATTTCGTGAAGAAGGGGGATGTATCTTTGATACCTTGATTCCCCATTTGGTAGCGATTCAAGAGTGGCTCACTAAGTTCAGCAGAGTGGATTCAAGGTTGATGTCTTTAGGCATTGAGGGTAACGGGATTATTCGTCAGGAGATAATGCAGGAATTGCCACCACTCTCAAATAGACCTTTTCTGACCCAGAATTTTCTTATAGGCGGTGTCCGCCATCATCTCAGATGTAGAGAATTATCTCAGTAGTTTTAATACGAGAATCAACCAGATCCCAATCATGAGTTCATTGAAATCCTGTCTTTCTAAATCAACCTCTAATCTTTACATATCATCCAAAGCGTGAAGATCCGATTCTTCGCAGTTGGTGTATGCAAAGTTATGTCACCAGGTGGCAAGGTAAGCTGTTGCATGTGCAGTTTACAGTCCTTAGAAGTCGGCCATCAATGGCACCGATTCATACAGAAGGTGTGTTTTTGGAGGGAGGAATGATTAAGAGTGATGAACATGTTTAATCGATGTAGAATATGGATAATGTCTTTTGATCATCTGTAGAGCGAATCAGATAGAATTTTGACCTAAGTCATATGTACCCCATGTTGCAGATCAAGACGGAAGTCATGAGTGCCGGCATGTATTCGTGTTTCAACATGCTGAAGAATCGGGAACTCATGGATAGAAGGTGAGCAGATTGTCCTGAGGTATTTATTATGCTATTTCAGCTATATTACGTCGTAGAAGCAGATAGGGAGAAGCTTTTTATAATTGTCACTCACAACTAGGACTTTCTCACTACTTTGACTCTGGTGACAGAACTAGTAAACCTAGTCCTATCCTTTGATTGTAGGAAAACTTGTGCTCTTTCCATCCTGACAAGAAATTTCACAGTTTTCGCGAAGCAGTGATGACTAGTGGATATACGGAACAAGAGCTCTGTGACTTTCATGTTATGGGACACGAAATATGTTTGTTTAGACTTTGCTAACTAGATACTCTTCCTATCATATACTTGTATATGGATAAGGACATGTTTGCATTTGATATCTGTGATAGCAACCGAGTACATTCCAAATGTAGCTCAAAGGGAAGAACTTCTACAAAGATTTTTTTAACAAACTTATCCATCTGAAGCTCAGACAACTTTCTCCTCGTGGTTTTTCTTAAATGGAAACAACGGCTAGAGATCGCCCCATAATGCTGATTGATTTTTCCTAGGATTTAAGAATGTCACTCTCCATGGCGGAGGTCGTTGTAGTAACTTTCCAAGATAGGTAGTCTCAAGCAACAACCGACACAGTGTTGGGAAGGTTTGCCAAAACAGGGGACGGGTGATGATTCTGTAGAGGATCATCACCCTGTACCTCGTATGAGAAAAGGTTTTTTTTTAAAAAAATTGGCTCTCTGTAATTCCTGATACATCACGCTTCATGTAATAACTTGTGGGCTATCAATCTAATGTAAACTTAACTCAGGCAACTCATCGCCTTTTCCTAGGATTTCCGGAATATGGTTTACATCAGCTTCTTATGGATTGTCGCAGATAACTGCAGACTGGAGCAGATTCATTTGCTCCACTCCAAAGCTCTCTTCCAAAGCTGTCGTTGAGATGGACATGAGGGGAATCAAATTCTGTCCGAACTGGTATGTTCTTACAGTCTACAAAGTGATACAATTCAGCTCTCAATGCATGTTGCTAAAAGGCATAGGTGTTGACTTACGATGGCTGCGAGAGATGTGCAGTGAAAAGCTGTTGCATTATGAGGACGATGAGAATATTCAGCTGTGGCTGATCTGTAACAGATGCTCATACAAGGTGCCAATTCTCAAAGTTCCACATCTTTGGTATATCTCGAAAACTGCAAATATGGCATGACTTCTCAGAATACAGATCACTCTAATGGTTTCGTTTTTTGTGGCAGTAATTTTGAATGGAAATTTTTGGTGTTAAGACGTTGCTATACAATTTAACATTTGAATTTGATTCTAGACTCGAGCAGATAACGTTGTTGTGTACCTTAAGGAGTTTCCTGATTACTTGGAGGAAAAGGAAACCATCCCTATTACCAAAGAAGTTCGCTGCCCTCATTGTGGACATGGAGAAGCAGGATTTTTTGAAGTACGTTGAAAGCCTCCTTGTAGCACACGGTTTGAAACACTGAAGTAGAATTTGTCGGTTGAAGCTAGGAGTACTATGAGGTTGAGATGAACTTTTTTTTTCATTAAGAAGTGAAAACACTGGTTGTAATTGTCTAATCTGGCTGATCAGGAGTGGGTGGAGAATAAACCCAATATTGCTCGAACAAATGGAAGCAGTAAAACGCCAGCTTTTAATCTCAGTCAGGTATAGCAATATCTTGATTATTCGTCTGTAGTCACCATGATGACCTAGTAAATAGGAATTGAAAAAGTCAGCCCAACTTTGGTCATGAACCGTGTTTTTCTCTCCACTGGTCATGAGCCACATTCTACATCTGTGTTCAACATCTAACATCACAATTCATATTACATTGTCTTTTTCTTACTCAATCATGAATGTAAGTCACGAGTTTTGAACCACTTCTACCTTATCTGAGCAGGATATTTACGATTCTGATTGGGATGAAGAGGAGGAAATTGCCAGGTGGAAGAAGGAAAAACTTCGCCAACGTAGAAAATCGCATCCTGACGAGAGAAGCCTTGAAGCAACTGCCAAGTGGGAAGAGAAGCTAAGGAGCGAGGAAGTCACGAGGAGAATGGAGATCCAAAGGAGGAAAAGGAACAACCCAGCACCACCTGATGCAAGGAGAGCGTTGATATTTGTATGCTGCAGTTCTTCGTGCGGCCAAACTTGGGAAGGCGACTGAGGGACGAGATATAGACCTTTTAGCAACAAGCCCTTATCAAGCAATTAATTTATATGAGATCAAGTTAGCTATAACAATCTCAAATTTGAATATACCGTATGAAGCTTACTTTAGATGTCCCTTGGATTCTGAAACTTCCTACTTCAACACCCCATGTTCAAAGCTCCGAAAGCGTGTATTACACGTACATCTAGAGGTGCTGAAATGCTCAAGTTACGGACTCTACCATAAATTTATACTATGTGCTGAAAGGAATTTGATTATTTTGAACAAAGTAGATGTGGAATCATCACAGGAAGTCCAATTAAATTCTCCAAAACAACTCGCCCAGGCACTGCCGAGGTTTCATGGGGCGGAATGGATGACAAGGACCTAGAAAAGTTCACCAACACACATGCAGCCATCGCCGATTCCAGGTTCGGTGGATGGACTGATGTGGATTCAGCCGTTTGATCTTGTTATCATCTCTGTTCTATGGGAGAACCACACATATCAAACACTAGCTTTCACTTCCTGCTTTTTAGGTGTGAAGCCTTGAAACCACGAAGAATCGAGGCCCTTGGCATTCATCCGACGATTTCCGGGTTCGAGCCCCGGGTGATGAGAGGGACACTGGTGTGCTCACCTTCATTTCTTACTTCAAGACAGTCGCCCTTTGCCATGCAAACTTGAACATGCCAAGAGCCCCTCTTACGACGGGCAAAACACAAGCACTGGATCTGTGAGGTCCTCGCACATGAGGACTACGGGATTGTAATAAAGGAATGCTGCAGAAGAAGAAGACAAACCAAATGCGTCAATAAACCAAATGCGTATACTCTAGAGCCCTCCAAGTATTGGCTCCTCTTGTAACACACACCAGTCTGATGCAATCCCCTGCGCGGGCCTGGTTCATGAGCTGCTTTCTCATTGTCCTTCCAATTCCGTCTCACTCTGCACATGCCCACGCTACAGGCACCGAAGAAGACAGTGCACTTAATCTGCCGAATGGCTGATCGTCAAAACACCGGAGAGGAAGTGACATTACCATCCACATCTGAAATATTGTAGTCTTGCAGATTCTTGCGGGGCAGGTAGAAACACTTGTGCTCGTCATCATCCTAGAGATCCCTGCGCACGGATCTTAATGGGATACAATGTCGCGCTTGTCTAGGTGATGACTCTGGAGTCTGTTCTCTGTCTTTGACGATTCAGGTCTGGCATGACGGAGTTCAAGAGATTTGCCGAAACTCCTTCAAGCTCTTTTATTAGTGAAAACTCACAAGAGGTTTTCAAAGGGTGGGACGAGAGAGAAGAGCGAGCGAGGAAAGATGAGCTGAGGTGTGCAGATGTTTCTTCGGATCAATTTCTTCACCGGACCTTTGCTGTCCAATTTCCGGTTGCGAATAGAAACTTCCTATTGCCTGGAGGATTTGAATTTCGATCGCAAAGCTCGAGTGCTATCCAATGTTGAGTGACTCCCTGCTTCTGACCCGCCTGTCTCAAGTAAGATATTCTGAGCTGGTTCACTATCACTGTTCTGTTCGAATAAAAAATGGCTTATTCCTCTGTTTCGCCTGTGTATTGCCGAATTCAAATACTGAGAAATCTCCATATCTCCACTTTCTTCTCTACTTTTGTAATCTGCTCTGCAGCTTAAATGGCATGTAAGGTGATTGGCCATTTTCCAGCCATTGCCTCGTTAGCAGCCGAGGATGGAATAGTTATTGTTTAGTTGAATCTTTCTTCGGCACTCTAACCAGGAATTCAATTCTGTGGTTCTGTTTTCTTTTGTTTTTAAGGAACAATATCTGTCTTGCAGGATGAGTAGACTTTATTTTTATGTTTGGGTTGTTGTGTCGGAATTTTCTGGATCCGATGTTATTCCTTAACCATTACTGTGGGCTCTTGACAGGCAAGAAAATTGCTAGAGAATTCTCAGAACACAGAAAGTGAGGTAAGCGTAATCTGCTCGCCCATCAATTTCATTTGATTTATCCTCCTTGGTGGTGGTGAACTATCCACTAGTAACAAGGTTAACTTTTCTATCCAGGCCTTCAACTTACGGCAGTTTAGAATACGCGCAAGGAGCAATCGAAACGACGAAGTAGAGATTGCTCAAGTGAGAGCTTCGGATAAGGAAGATGAAAACTCATTCGGCATCAAGTTCATGGTCTGTGTTTTAGACTATCTTCGAAAGGAAACTGAATCCTGATCAGTTTCAACCACCAAATCCAACCCGTCTGAATTGCTGAAATAGTGAATAGGAAAAAGTATATGTTGTGTCCTTACGATGTTGACATTATTTCCTCTGCGAATAGATGGGACTTCTGAAGAGCCCAAACCAAGTGCTGGCATACGCAGCAGTCAAAACACTTGTGGCTCTTTCGGATTATCTACGAAAGAAAGTAAGTTTGTCTTACCCTCTAAAGTATTTCATTACGAGTATCGTAGCTCGACAAATTGAAGTTTGTTCCCTCCTGGTTGAAGGAATAGTTGGTCATGCTGAGAACTGGAATTACTGGTTGGTGTGCGTGACAATCTGATCGCTTTCACATGATCAGTAGAGTTGAATATGTAAAGGATGGTCATCTACATAGCCTCTTCCTGTTTTCCAAAGTCCAGTTTTTTTTGTATTGATCCATGTTGTATGCCGAATATGTAAAGTATCTAACGTGCGTTCTGAACTTGGAGATGCAGAAAAGAGATCTGTGGCCATCATTTCTGCTTGCTTTGTGGAAAGATGCACAATGTTGGGCCTCCTGTCCAGATCCATCGCTTTTGAAAGAGGTCCAAGTATACGGAAAATTATTTTTACGCAATGGAAAATCAGAACCGAATACTCCGGCACATGAAGATGCTTGCCTTTTGGCAACTTCCAACACTCTACAGGCACTTCACCAAAGCTTGAAACGCTGTCTGAAATCATCTGACGAGAATATTGAAGATGAGCCACTTCCCAGGTTAAATGCGGAGAATTTAGAGGTTTTCCTTTGTATGCTGACGACCAGGATGAGCAAGTTGACAAATGCCATCTGCATTGCAGAAGAACAAAAAAAAGCAGGCGAGCAATTAAGTAAACCTTGCAGTAAGCCTACAATGTCAAGGTTAACCAGAGAATTAAGTTTGGGAGCCCTGTTGCGACTGCTATGTACCGGATCTGGCATGCTGACTTTGATATCCGACCCAGAAAATCAAAATGATGTAACTCGTGGGGCCTATCTCAACATGTCGCTTGCTTTGATACCTGTTATATCTAGCTCTGCCCTCCCTCCACATAAGAATTGCTCTGGGAGAAGTTGCATCTCGACATACCTAAGACACAAGCTTCTGGTATATCATGATATCCCTGACGTCTTCTTCTGTTCATGTTCTCATGCTTTCATTAGCCCTGCCTTTCTTTATGTTTAGTAAAGGTGTGCTTTTGAGTAAAATTAGTGTGTAACTTTTAATTCCATATGTATGTGACCAGAAGTATGTTTTCATATTGTCCAACCTGTACCCTCAAAGGTTTCTAGACTCATTAGTACTGATTTTTGTGATCCCCAAGTAGATCATACTGCCATACGCCAGACTTACCAAAAAAAACTATCTGTATCTTCAACTTAATATCATTAACGTCAATGTTGAAGCTGTGTGTGGTTTCCTCTTATTGCAGATGTTCATGCTGAAACTTTCAAAATGGTTTGATATCAAGCCATCTTTGGGCTCTTCCTGTTACACATTTCTTCGTTTCCATGGGTCAGATCTCTTGGAATTCAGCTTACAAGACTATGACGAGAGAAATAACTTTCTAAATGAATCTCCTTTTGCTGAATCCTTGCTTGTCTCCTTGAAAACGGAACCTTCTGCAGTCCCCTCCGTTCGACGGTTGCAGAGACGTGCCTTATTGATTCTATTGAGAATTGCGCATGCCACATATCGAAAAGCACACACAGACAGGGTCTCCGATAATGCGCAGCCGGGAGTGGTCTTACCAGCGAAACGAAGTTGGGAGGAACTCACTCTACAGTGTTCATGTGATCTACCATCCCGAGTGTACTTACGAGATTGGATGGACAGACAATATCAGTTGGGAGTGAGCGGATTCCCCAAAGAATTTGCCCAACCCACAGAGATATGTGCGTCGGTGAAGCAACTCTCGAACTCATTTATTCAACTCTATGTCGAAGAGGTCAGTGTTGAAGTCATGCAGTGTGGATGGTAAAACATTCAGTTATTTACAAATCTGCCTTATTGGTCTCGCCTCTCCCATACTTCCTGCACTAGGCTCCACCATCCTTCACAGGTACACGACCTGCACTGATCCGCTGGTCGTCTAGTCTTATCTTCAGTGGTACGCCATGAACCTCGTTTCAAAGAGAGAATCAATATCAATCTGTTGTTCGAAATGTGATCTCTTGATCCCATCTTACTTGCTCGTTCCCATCTGTCACAATAGCATCTCCTTACGAAGATCAGGGATTTTGGTCTGCAGACTGACAGGCATACCCTAATAAGTACAGCTTCATACCTCGGTCACCAAGAATCATGCTGTATGATTCTTTTCTTATGCAGGACGATCTACTCTTGATGACGATGCTGCAACTTGCAGATATGCAATTTTTGTCCAGTGTATTTATGTGCCCAAAACATCCAAAAGAGGATATGTTTTGCAGAATTGCGGTCGAAGCTTTTCGTCCCAGCAGATTGATTCATGCATTCTTAGCTGCCGTAAGTTGAAAGCTTTCAATTGTTTCATTCTAAACAGGTCCAAAAATCCGTGACTGCAACCCACAGTATGATAGCGAAGGAACGATTGTTGTTTAATTTCCACTGTTCTTGTTTGCTTTACGATTTTCGATTAAATTTACTGATGATATAGTGTCTTTTTATCCTGGCCTGCTGAACTTGATTCCTCTGAAGATAAACTTCGATTATGCAACAATCGAAAAATTGCTTATATCAAAGACAAGTGGTGTATTGTGCCTCACATATTTACTGAGGTGAGTAACACTTGGTTGCGCTGTAGCCCACAAGCTGTCTATTTGTGTAAGTCGAGTACAGAAATTACGAAGAAAGAAAGCAGGAATCAGCAGCTCAACTCTTAACAGGACAATCCGTGTCTTCAATTGTTTATTCTTCATCGGTCCGTGATAACCTGGAGACAAACGCAGTCAAACAATCTAGCTTCTTCACCTACTTTTTTGGTCTAGATTGTCATTCCCACTCCGTACATCTTGAGTGTGACAAGTAAAGAGGGTATACTGAATCCTTATGCTTTGTTATCCGCAGGTCTCTTCGTCATATCAGTGACTCATGGCCTGATTTTGTACATGCAAGCCCTTGGTCAAATGCCGATAAACATTGTGCAAATCGAGGTCACGGGCTCAAGGAGTGTACTGTGAACAGTCATACAATGCGATGTAAACTTTGTTCCTATCAACAGATGTGTTCACATGGCGTAGTTCCTTACGATGACGTAGTAATTCATAATTACATGAATCTCAAAAGAAATGCAGCTGAACAACATGGCAGGTGCCGGTGTGACTGCAATGGTGATGATACTGCAGACAATGCTGGAAATGAACGAGTTCATCTTCCAAATTATTTCTTGGGCAAAGCTGCAGATTTTCTACAGGGTTTGAAGAATCGCGTTGAGGATCTTCATTCACATGCACTTTTCCCTTACAATCCAACACCACTTTTGTCAAGGTTTGTTCAATCTAAATCGTGAAGGTGAAACGATGTTCCTTACTATTTACATCTAGATGCTGCTAACAACTTGCTCCATTTAACCAAGACAATCTGAGATGAAACACCAGCAGCTCTCTCTTCTTGTAAGATGTTCACACTTTTGTTTCTCTCTTGCAGGCTCAAGGTCGTGGTGGATCTATTGAGACCATACTCGACTACACAATAACAGTTCTGTGCATGTAGACAAGGCGAAGCTTAGATTTGAGCTCAACGCGTGTGGACATGAAGGTCTTAAATTCTCTATTCACTTACCAATAAGGTGTACTTCGCCCCACAGGATGAGCAAGCAAGAAATCTCAAGACGATGGCATAAATTTCTTTAGAGATACACCTCATCCACAGCCAACTCCTAAGCTTCACAGCAGAATTTGCAACTGTATTTCAGGGCACCTGAAAACATGAGAGTATTGATGAATGCACGGTTCCCCAAGTCTGCAGTTTCTGTGAAGAGCATGAGACCATGTCAGGCAGATCTCCCCGTGTGACAGGTTAAAGTCTGATGGAATATCACACTACAATGTCCAGGCCTCTCTAAATACGGCATATACGGAACTTGAGGGCCAAAGTGCCGTATTTCGTTTTCAGAAAGTTCCGTATTTCCAACAAAAAATCTTTGTTCTCTAGGTGTAGAAACTAACGGAATCATTTAACTAAAACTTTGGGGTGACATTTTTGACAAATCTTTGTTGATGTAGTTGATTTTACTAGAGAAACTTACGTAAATATTCAGCTAAATCTTTGCCGTGATCGTTTCTGACAATTTCTTTGTTCATTACCGTTACTTTACTGGAGAAACTAACTGAATCTTTGACTAAAACTTTGGGGCGACACCTGATGAGTTCAACCAAGTTCTAGTATTTTGTTTCCTTAGTTATTTCATTCACTTGTAGCTTTGAAAACACAAAAAATTATTCAACTAGTTATAAAATATCAAGAAATTCTCAAAATTTCTCGGAAATAAAAGTACAAAGATAAAATAGTGAACCGAGAACATTACGAAGTCGATGTTCTATGTGCACAAAAATCTGTTGATTGAAAAGTTTGATTCCAGGTTTTAAAAATAGATTTCTTCAACTCATGGAGTTTTTCGTAGTATTAGTTTAACCATTTTCAAACACTTGAACGCTCTGGAGAGTGATTTCTCCTTGCTGAAATGGAAAAAGTATATTCACATATCAAAGATAACACCCATTTCTCTCAAAGTTGTATTGCATTGACAACAAATTCGACCGAAAACATGAGAATGTAGGTCAAAATTCGGCCGAAAACTGTCGAGTTCCTTATATTCCGTATTTTGATTTGAAAATTATCCTTATTTTGTTGAGATAGGGAACATAAGGAATCCGCCCTATATAGAGAGGCCTGACAATGTCTAATTTGGGCTAATGAATGTTTCCCACCCAGAATGCGAAATTTGACTTCAACGTGCTTAATAAAGTGCCCTCTCTGATATTACGTCCAGACCAAATGAATCCTAGTGATCATCGATAGTGCTTTCTTATATACAGTCATATATTAGATCAATTATGTAGCAAGTGTATCCAAAACTTGCCGTGACAAGGTAAGACGTCAAGGCTCTTCGCCCAAGAACGTTACAAGACAGCATGGCTTACTATTCAATAATTCAGTGCAAGGTTTCAGGGAGGTCAGATACAAAATGCCAGCAGAAGCGATTATCATGCAACGCGAGAATAGAGCAGGAAAAGACGGAATAAAAGTGCCACGTACCGACTTACTGGGGGTTTGGGTAAAAACATATTAAACGAACATTGCATCCACTCCTCAGCCTGCTTAGCATTAATAATATATTAATGCACGCGTTTAATACAGAATGTGTAGCACTTTTTATTTAGATGAGAAGAGTCCGAAACAAAGTATGGCGGGTTATTACATTATAGAATGCTTTGCTTTTGATCTTCTGCCGGAGCATTAGCTTCATAGTACATTAAATGTTTGTGAAATATTTTCGACGTCTGATGTTTGCATTCTTTATACACTGGGAAAGACTGGTGTGTATGTCCAAGGACTCTTCCCCTTCACTTCCATATACTGCTGCCTTGGACATGTGATGATTGTAGATCAGTTCAGGCCAACTTGTAAATCTACACACCATCTACACAAGTTTAGGAATGTAAATTTAAAATCTGAATCTTAACATGCAAGAATCAATGCGCATATGCCATCAACTTAATAGATGCCATCAGTTCAATAAATTGGAAAAGTATTCCATCATAACCAACATATATTGATGATACCATAAAATCAATGATAAAGATGATACAAAAGTTCAAGCTCCAACCATAATCGAATTTTATCATTGTGGTATAGTATCATTGAATGATTGGATCAACACACAACATGATCATATCACAACACAACATCATTTCATGATTTGTTACACTGCAGTTTTCATGTCAATTTATGTACAATAATTTTGATTTAAGATATGAATATCATTTATTGCAACAATATTCAAAGTTTTATCCACTTTACACTTTATCTTCTAGTCTAGGCTTTTGAGCTCTCTAAGGATTTTGGATCCTAATCTTGTACCTCAAATGTATATGAAAGCAATGTTATTCTTTTGACATTTTGAAATCATTACGGATAAGTTGGTATATTTAAGTACTCTAAAAACAGCGATATTTGTTACCAAGTTGTTACTAGTCTCATGTTCAAAAGTAACAAATCCATCATTTGATGCAAGATACATGCAACACAACTCTTGAAAACCTGACATATTCATAACAAATGATAACTTTCATCAAGTACTCATTACTAAACTTGTTAAATCTAAATCTTGTCAATTTTGTTAACTTTCTCTGAACATATTTTTAGGTAAATGTTAAATCGACCCATCTCTTTACTAAATCGACCCATCACCGTGAATAGCTGCCAAGTTAGTGTCTTTAAACAGATGTACCATGTAAATCTCAACAGCTTCTTGAAGAGCTTGTATGGCAGAAGTTTGAAAACGGAAACCGACACGCCCAAGGACGTCGAAAGTGATTTCATGTACCACACGCTCAAATGGAGACTTCTTGATGAGCAGATAACAGTTAAATTTAAGAATAAGTTATGTTACCGTTAAATCGACCCGCGACGCGTCAAAAAAAAAAAGTCTCGTGATGGGTCGATTTAGTAAAGAGATGGATCGATTTAACATTTCCCTATTTTTATTACGAATCTTTCGAATCATCTCGCATCATAGTTCAATACTTTATACATATAAAGTATGAATTTGTAATTTCCTTGCAGGTGCTATCCGACACAAAAACCAAAGCAATGAAAAGTTGCTGCGGCTGTATCTACAGATTCGATGATGTCCACAGCAAGCTGTTAAACTAGGTCTTAGAATCCACAAAATTATATCAAAGCAGAAGCTTGAAAAGAATTTTTTTCAAAAAGGGCCAGTATATTTGACGATTGTTACATCACATCTCAGAACATTACATTATGTACACCAATTTTTTCATTAATCAAGAGTGACCAAAGTCACACAAGATGTCAATAGCATTTTCCCAGATGAAAAATCGTTTGTTATTCTTTCCTATGCTTACGCGAACGAGCATATTGTAAGAGATCAGACATAATTGCTTCCTACAATTTATACGGCCTCACAGGACAACCGTCATTCATGGTGTAGCTGAAGCAGGCATGTTCAGCTCGAAGATCATGCTGCAAATACAGGGCCTTTTGTACGAAAAGCTACGGCTATGAAAGCCACACGACCTGACCAATCGAAATCTAACCTTCGAAAAGGCTCCCTATCACATGATAGATCTCAAAGGTTTGATTGGGTGAGAAAGTTTGTGTTTGGTTAATACAATCATCGGTGAAACAAATAAACCCTTTCTGAATTACACGGATATATGAATATGGTCGAACCATTGTATCACACATCATTGTTCAGAATAATATTCTTTTGGACCAGCAAAGCTTGGCCACATGTCTCTGAACATACTAAAGAATGAATTTTTACCATATTAAAGAATGAATTTAATCTATGTGCAACATTTTATTTTCGTTATTGATCGTTTCAATCAATGAAGAAGAAGAAAGAATGTACAAAAATTAAATTTTGTCTCAGGATTTGTGGAATATTTTTTTCATATGAAGTATATTTTGATTTTGTTGCAGTGATTGCATAATTTATTATAAATAACTTTCTTACATCATTATGTTGAATACTAAATAAATAAATCCACATATAGTTACATTAAAACATGTTAAGAAAACGATGTATTGTTAATCATTTTAAAATAACGGTATGTATTTTTTGTTTATCTCTAAAAATAAATATTTAACAAATGTATTATTATGTTCTTTACTTGACAAATTTTGTCATTTAGCTTCATCATTTTAATCAAAATATTGATCATTTTATTGAATATTTGCATGTATTGACAAAATAATTTGCATATTGAAGAAATTGAGTATAATTCAATCACATAATAAAAAAATAATTTATGCAAAAATAAAATTAAATTAAAACAACATATGATTCAGATAAGTGCATTGATACTTGGTAATTTTTAAGAAAGATGCAAGTGAAAATCATCAGCAAATAAATATCCAAATTTGGCTTCCAAATTTGTCATGTTCATTAAGGTTTGTTCAAAATAATGAAGGTGATGTTTTAAACACTTTTAGTATTATATTAATCACAAGATATGATATGAAATGTCTAATAATAAACGATGTGATAAAATTGTAATTTTTCATGAAGATTAAGTGTCTTAAAAATTTAATTTGTTTCATGATAATTTCAATTTTGAAATCCATTTGAAGATTTCAAGTTTTATGTTATTAGAAGCTTGGCAATTCAATTTAGATCAATAATAGTATATATCATATTGACATGTTAATAACAAATAAATAAATAATTATTACATACAAATATTTTTTTTATCTGATTTATTTCCTTTTCTTATATATTAAATTTTTTGAAAAAATAAAAAATTCTAATTTTTAATTTAGATATATTTAATAATAACTAAATCTTACGTGATAAAATTTTAATATAGATTCAAAAAATCATATATACACATGCTGTTTTCAAAGGATGTCATGTTTATGTTTTGATAACATGAGTAGTTGAATATATTAAATATGTTTCAACATTATATTGAAAATTTTTTATTTTCATATTTTAGAAAATAATTTATTTGAAACATTACACAACTCAAACTGAAAATTCCATGCAATATAAATTTTTTTAAAATAAAATAAAATTTAAAGTTCATTAATAAATGTATCATTTTTACCTCAATTAAGTTGACACATTTTTATTTTTATTTTGATATTGCAAATCATATCAAATGCAAATTTGATAAATATTTGATTATCATCACATAAAATACATTGAAATTAAGACAAAATTACTTAAAAAGCATATAGATACATTTCTCAATTACTTCTTGTGATTTTTTCAAATATCACAAAATTAATCTTTAACCACCATCAGATATACAACTCCTCGTGTATTTATACAGGACAGATGTCACTAACAAGCACAAATGGTGTTTACTTAGCACTCAAGTATTAAATTTTTTTTTCGTTTATCTAGCATATTGATGATTGACAAATTATTTTCAATTATCATATTCGCTTTGTTTTATATATTGGATAATAAAAAGAAAATTTTAAATCAACACAATCAAAAACCTAACAATCAATTTCATTGATTGTCAACATGATTTTTATAAGTAGTCAATTACAAATGGATTTGATATTTTTTGTTTTCATATTGAATATTTTTTGCTTCAATTATAATTTAATGAAGATGATTGTTTCATCTGTCAATATGTTTGACTGAAAAATTCATGATAATCAAGTTTTTTAATATTTCAAATAACATATTTCAATCTAAAATATGAATGTTGATTCTTATCTAATTTATTCAATTCTTATCAATGCATCAAAACATATGATTAAGAAAATAATATTGTCATTGCACATTATTAGAAAATTAATATCATCATTGGACAACATTACAATGATAATCTAAGATTTCTATTCAAAATTAAACATAATAAGAATCTTGAAATAAAATTTAAAATAAACTCATATGATCATTTTTAACTATGAGCTTATCATAGTTAAAAAGATCACTTTGATATCTCATTTGATATACTTGACTCATAATATCATCAACTGAAATTTATCATATATTCAAATAATATAAATTTGTTCTGTATAAAATGTCCGTTGTCTGATTTCAAAATAAATTTATATGGTCATTCAAGAGTCAAACATTTGAAGAAAAAATTTTTGATTGATTATATGAAAATAAAAATTAAATAATTGTTAGATGACATCATGTTACACAATTTGTCAAATCAATATCCATCAGAATGTTCAAATCACTGCAACTTGCATTATCATAAATCTATAATAAATCATTTTGAAACTGTTATAGTGATATTATAAATGTTCTTTATATTTAATTTCATAAAAATAGCATTTAAATCACAAAATAATATTTTTTTAATGTATACATAGAGTTTCATCAATATTATTGAAATTTTAGCAAACCTTGATTTTATTTTCATATCATTGATAAAGTTTTGCATATTTAGAGTGAACAATTTTCTGCATGTGAATTACTGATAACATTTAGCATATGCTCAATTCCAGGCAATGGTTAGATTTAAATGTTGAAAAGAGTTATAATTAACAAGTTCATATTCATAATTCTCGAATTCATATGAATTTGTTGATAAATTTTTTTCCATTTTTTAATAATATTTTGACGGCCAAACCCTAGGTCTGGCCGTCGATCCTGGCCGACGTCCATCCTGGCCGTCGGCCAGACCTAGGGTTTGGCCGCGTGAGTGCAGTGCTCCGCTTGAGTGCGAACACTGCCCTAAAGCAGGCACCCGAGCACGGACTCATTCTCTTTTGGTTTCCTGAGCTTGCTCGAGCAGGTCCTTGCCTCTGACTGCACCATGGGTACGTCGCGTTCATCGATGGAAATCTCAATTTGAGAGCTGTGTATTGTGATAAATTGGAAATTGAATCGTATGTCGTGTATACGGGTAGTCTAAAACACTGGCAGTGAGTGAACTCACAACCCGCGGTTGTGAACCTTTAGCGCTTGTCGTAGAATTGTGAAGTTTTAGGTTTGGCCGTCCTTTGGGATCCATGGGTGAGTCGATGATTGCGGTAGTTTTTCTGTGTTTATGGTGTCCATCTCGTTCTCTCGCTGTACATTTTTCGATCAGCACCTGAACACCGCAAAGCTGTCAGTGATTTGACATCGTATAGATTGAGGTTTGGTTCTCTAAGACTTTGCCTGGTAACAACATTTCAGGTATCTCTCGTGATTCCACGCATAAAAGACGGGCGACTGGAGGAAAGAAGAAGTCATGGCGCAAGAAGCGCAAGTAAGTGTCACATTCTTTATATATATTTCTTCCGAAATGTTAAGCTAGAATTGCCAAAGCCAAACGATGATGTCATCGGCCGATGCTCTCAATTGGTGTGGATGTGGACTGAGACTGATTGTATATGTGAAATTAAGACTCTTTCGCGTTGATTAGGTACGAGTTGGGACGACAGGCAGCTATGACCAAGCTGTCCAGCAACAAGACCGTTCGCAGAATTCGTGTGCGCGGTGGAAACTTTAAGTTTAGGGCTCTTAGATTGGATACTGGAAATTTCTCCTGGGGATCGGAGGCCGTCACCAGGAAAACCCGTGTATTGGATGTCGTCTACAACGCTTCAAACAATGAGTTGGTGCGAACCCAGACTCTTGTAAAGAATGCCATCATCCAGGTTGATGCCGCTCCATTCCGACAGTGGTACAACCAACATTATGGCGTTGACATCGGGAAGAAGAAAAAGGTCGTTCCCGGAAAGAAGGAAGAGGTACAATTCATTCCTAACTCACGTTTCAAGGGTATGCTCCGCTATTTTCCTTGTCTAGGGCGTCTGTCGTGTGGCTCTTGCTTACTCCTAGGTTGTGCTATGTTCATCAGGATGCTGACGCTACCGAGGAGGATAAGAAGGTTAGCAAGCACGTGATTAAGAAGATTGAGAAGAGGCAGGAGGGTTTGAAGTTGGACGCTCACCTAGAGGACCAGTTCGCTAGTGGAAGGTTGCTGGCTTGCATCGCTTCTAGACCCGGACAATGTGGTCGTTGTGACGGCTACATTCTAGAGGGTAAAGAACTGGAGTTCTACATGAAGAAGATCCAGAAGAAGAAGGGCAAAGGTGCTGGTGCAGCAGCTTAGGCTCAAAACTCGCAGTTGCTCGAGATGATCTTTTTTCCTTAGACTAGCCACTCGGATCGGCAACCTGATGTGCAGCGCTTCTTCCGGAAAGGTTTTGTGAGGACGGACCCTAATTGTTCTTAAAGTATTTCAATAACACTCACAAGTTGGCGAGTGTTACAAAAATGAAGTCATAAAAATGATAAGCACAATGATCTCCTCTATGTGTGGCCCATCTTTGTGAATTTATTTGCATATACGACTGGAGCAGCGGGCTGATGTTCGTACATAAAACCTGATACAGATTTATCTCTGAGCAGACAGCTACAACCTTTGTTCTAACTATGATCTAGTGTGCAGAACTTTGTTTGTGTTTACTGTGGGGATCTCAAAGGCACTAGTGACTTTTAGATAAATTAGTGCCTGATTGAACACGTTGATCTCTAGTGCAGTTCAGATAAGGATATATGAAAAGATCAGTTCCAGGTGAGAATAGAGCCATACAGGGAGGCTTAAGAAAGCTGAAGACGATCTGAGCATATGATCTGAGCATCTGGAATTATGTTCGGTGAAATGGCTCGGTGCAAACATATTGATGCCATGTATTTTCAAATATAATGAAAACTTTGAACTTTGTGAACAAACCAAATTCCTCCAGGAGGGACTTTGACAGGGAGAGCAAACTGCAAGGGCACGTAGCATGCAGATGTTGATTGAATTGAGAACATGTCAAATGAAATAAGAATTGGAAACAGGAAACCGAAGCAGAAGTTGCACACTATGTAGCGTTGGTGAAAGTTAGCCGGAATTTCTGATCGACAGGTTATGACATTAGTGAACACTCTTTGGTTGTTGAGAGCAGGCTAGCGTAGAGTTACAAGCTGAACTATGGTGTGGTGTGTTACTAAGTGGAACAAGTCAATTAGGGTTGACGTACCCATCGGACGATATAGAGGTTTGTTTCCTGGTGGAAAGTACAGTTTCAACGACCTGTCGATACTTTCCACTGATATCTTTTGTCTTGTCTGCTGACTTTATCATGGCGTTGGTCTCCATTGATCCCCATCGATTTACTCTTCATCGTTGAGTTTGCACTGGTGCAAATGAATTGGAGGTTGTCATGAATCTGATAGAAGATCCTCATAACCAAAATCTTAGAAACCGTTACTGAGTGCGTCTCTGATGAGCATCCAACATGACAAGATCATTTGGTTTGCCACGTCAAAACGAAATCTGATAGAGCCAAAATAAGCTCGACCAAGCGACATTCAAAGCCTCCAGGAAATGCACGGAGGAGTCGACAGTCGAGGCTTTCAGTTAACTGTAACATCAGATTGTAGACATAAACAATACTCTCAACACAATTATTCCAGGCAAATAATGACATCGTGAAGGACAATGTTGTACGAAGGAATCCACGGTTAAAACATGTTCTTTCTGAGTGCCCACTCAGAAAGAACATGGCATCGAGTACGGAAAAAGCCAACCAACAGAGCGCAATATAATTTTGGATTGTAAGCTGGACGGAGACATTAAACAACCATTGGGTTGGTCTTCAGTTCCACTCCCTAGTTCTAAAGAGCTGAGCATGGTGCTAGAAACTTGCATATGAACGAAAACATGTTCCCAGGTCGATCTTTTAGAAAAAATATTCTCAATTTGCGCAAAACTTTTCACAAATGCTGTGTCAGCCTTTTCACTATGATTGTACAGAATTGAAACGCCCATGACGATGACGTTGGAGACTGAGAAAACGTCGACTACTTAACAATGGTCCCTCTTCTACTCCCCGGAGACATAAGACTGTAAAACCTGAGAGAGACCTCGCCATCCATCCAGGGTGCCTCTAGACACCAAATTTCTACCTTTTAGTACACATTTACACTGGCAGAAATTTCCAAGACGTTCCACATCTCCTTTCTTTCCTCTACTATGTTGTACAACCTTCTATGATACAACTAAGAACCTCCCTTCCACATCCTTCTTGATGAATCTCATCTTCGCATTTCAGCCCAGCTGTCTTGCTGCACCTGAAGCTCATCTTCTTTCACAAGGCCACAACTGCAGGGAATGTGCATGGACCACGCTATTTTACAAAATCCGAGCACTAGATCATACTTTGAACGTAGGGACTTTTGAGAGCCGTCCCCTCACTCAGATGCCGGTACCTTTGCAAACTGCCCGACGTTTGCACGTATACGACACTTCCCAGAGCAACAACACTGCCTACCACAGCTGCAAGACCCAGCAAAGCCCAGAACCAACCTTGAAACTGACCATCATCGTCTTCTTCCTCTTCTACCAAGCTAATCTTCAGCACATCATGGATCTGTCCGTCGTGATTTCCGACATAGTTTAAGGTCAGGACCGATCTCGTTGCGTGCAGCCTCACGTAACCAAACTCGGAGCTTCGAAACAGGGACCACTCCTTTTGTGGAAACACTAACTTGTCAGGATGTTCTGGACGTGGTTCCCAGGGTACTTGATAATCTTGTCCTCCCATGCCGATAATCACATGCACTGGTAACTTCGTTGAGTCCTCTGGATCTGCACATGTGTAGTTCTGAATGGCACAGGTTCGTTCATACTTGTGTACGTGTCCCCAAAGGACAAGATTTACATTGTACCTCACAAGCAGCGGTTCGATATGCTCGATCATCAAGGCACGCAGTTGTCCCATTTTGAGATCCCTGCTCGTGGTGTACATGGGTCGATGACCCAACACCACGACAAATGGCGTCTTCGTACGGTCCACACTCTTCAAATTTGATTCGATGAAGGCCAATTGCTCACTGCCTGGTAAGAAGTTTGTTTCGGTGCAGATGTAGAGGAAGTGCACCACTCCTACTGCATGAGCGTAGAACATATTGCGAGTTGAGATTCGTGTGGATGAGTTTGGCACGGTGCTGTTCCCAGGCATGTTAAACCTTACACTGTAAGGAACTCCACACTCACCACCACCATCAGTACCGTAAAGCTTAGTAGCCCAATCGGGTCTCCAGGGTTGCTGGGGCCAGTCATACTCATGATTCCCAATGCAAACGTGATAAGCTGCCTGTGATGCCACAGGCTGGATGCGATGGAAGAACTCATCCCACAGCCATGCATACCCCCTGGCGTAGCTGATGTCACCAATATGTGAAATGTAGACCGCTTTGTGCTGCAGCTCTCTTATGTCCGACTCCATCAGCCGAATGGTTGTCTCACTTTCCGGTTGCAAAAGCTTGTAGGTCTTGTAAGGAGCCGTGGTTCCCATATCTCCAAAAAGAAGTGCATAAGTTTCATCAGCGTCCTCCTTGGCCATTCGAAAGCTGTAAGTGTCGCTCCATCCTTCAGCGTCACTACCCACCTGAACCAAGACAGACGTGGAAACAAAGATGAGATTCAGTTACTGACATTCATATCGTCGCTGGATGCAAGGACACACAGGACTGTACATATGCCCATGATTCCGTTCTCAAAAGCAGTATGGTTCATGTTGGCATGGCAGTGTTTACCTGATAGTAGTATCGTTTGCCTGGGACTAGGTTCTTCATTACTGCGTCATGTATAACTCCAGGATTCCTCCAACCATCCGACGAATTTGCAGGAGCATGACACATATCTGTCTGACTGTAGGTCTCCATTTGGGTCTCTGAGATGGCCTGCATCGAGTACCTTGTCCGCCCGTATTTGGCAAAGCTTGTCGTAAAATCACGGGTGACAAACATCACTCTCATTTCCTTGGAGTCAGAGGTCAGAGCGAGATGGATCTGCGTTGGTTCATTGTAGTTTTGAAAGTGCACATTCGCGCTGACGGCCAGAAGTTCCTCAGGGATGGGAAGAGGATCACCGTCCTCATCTACAGGTGTATCATCTGTCACATTCACTGCTTTGCCTCGAAATGCACGAAACTGATAAGGTGCCCGCATGTTAACCAGAGGAATATCCAGCTCGCAAGTGCCGGTTTCCTGGAATCTCTCACAAGTTAAGAGTGGTTTGTAACCGAGGAAGAAATTGTGATCAGAGTCTGGAGGGTTGTACCAGCCCAGCCAGTCAAATTCTGAAGGCTGAGCAATGCCTGTTAGAGATAGTTTGATTTTGTCGCCAGATTTGTGAAGAGTCTTCGGAGTCACCTCTAGATTTGCAGCTTTCGCGAAACTCTCCTTGATAATTATAATTATCATTATGAATATGAGAAACTGGGCAGCACCCCCCATTGCTGCACACACACGACAGAGACAACACGTCAATTCTAGAGGGCTGTATTTGTCAAACAAACACTCATCAGAGTGTGTGTTACTGCCGTATAGATCAGGATCTGTAGAGGGGTAATACAATCGGGCTCAATTCCAGGAGAAGATGGTTAGTCCCGAGAGGTTCAAACAGCAAAAAAGAGGATGGACTCTCGAAGGGAAGTGGAAAAGGCATGCTACCAAAGTGGTTGCATTTCAGCGAGTTGTTGAAAAGCTTTCAGAAAATTCCTTGAAGTCACTCCTTTGGTTGACAGCAATCGAAGAAGAACAAAACATGGCATACTTTCTCTGCTTGATAAAATCGATACAGACCACCAAGAATGTGCCTATGGTTCTAAAATTGCCTGCTCTAGTTGAAACATACAAAGCAACATGATAGGCCATGATTAGATGACAAATGCCGCTTTCGTCTTTGTCAGCAGGACGATGGTTGCCTGCAGGCTGACGATGTTCCCTTCCATGAAGGAACAAGAAAAGCCTGTCCCATTCTACAAAGAGCTGCTGACAGACGCATGAAGAGAAGCGACGACATACTCAGCGACGCTTCTCGTCAAAAGATCACGGCTCTCACGAGAAGGGAGGAAAATGAGATCCTGGACTACATCTGAATTGTTTCTCTGTCTGTCTGCACGATTCCCTACGTTCACTTGAACAGATGATGACTGTTACACAGCAACACGTTTGTTGATTTGAGAGCGGCTCAAGTGATAATTTAGCGAGGGGAGGAGATTGGCATCAAATTTATTACCTCGATTCGAGGAACTGAACGCCGTGGGTAGTTGCAGCTCGTTGAAGTGTAACAAGGCCTACGGATTTGGCAGGAGAGCAATTTGTACGTGAAGAAATCGAAGTGTGTCCGCAGGACTCCAGTGACAGGACAGGACGGGACAGGACAACCTCCTCGTCGGTGCTTGCAATTCGACACCAAGCAAGCAATGTTCTACTCTGATATCCTCTGTTCTACCGCTCGTCAACAAAGCACTGCACTCTTCCAGAAAGAGCTTCCCATTGTTGGATGCCGCACCACACCAACCACGTTCAGAAAGCTCGTTGCCGGCGACAACAACCGCAATTGAGCAGGTCCGGGTACTCGCTTGCTCAGAGCTGGAACCTGCCTCCGTCTGCCCTCGCTGGCCTCTTCGGAGTCCGAACTCCGTACCTCGAACCACACTCGAAAAGAAACAAAAGGACAATAGAGAGCTTCAGCAGCAAGGCTCAGCACGAGTTGCCCCCACGACCACGCAACTGCAACTCACGAGCTAGCGAGCTCCACTGCTTCCGCTTTCGCCCACGCCTCAATCAATCCCAAGGGAGGAATGCACCCCGAAATCGACACCTCGCTCGCTCGTTGATATACGCCACGCCTGCTTCCACTCCTCACCTCCTCGTCCTGCGAATGCGAGCTCCAATTCCACACTCTGCGGCCCCCGCACTCCTCTCCTCACTCCTCTCCTCAACTCAACTTTCTTCTTCTTGATTTCTGGGTCCCACGGCAGCAAACCAAATCCAACACAACCCAAACCGCCCCGACCGATTGTGCTGAGGATCAATCGCTCCTGCTCTCTCTCTCTCTCTCTCGCTATCAAAACGAACTTCACGAGCACGAGCGCAAGGAAGGCAAAGTTGGACTGTGGACTGTGGGCCAGAGCGCAAGGGCGGGGGGGAGAGCAAGGGGGATTACCGTCCGGGGTGGTAACTCAGGGCCGCTCGCCGGTCCGCGCTTTTCTCTAGTTCCTCCACGGAAGAGTGAAGAGGGCAGTTTGGCAACGTTGCCGAGGCTAGACGCGGTCGGTCGGTCGGAGGCAGGACGACGTGGCGGGACCCGAGCAGTGTCCGGCAGTCCGAGTGGACTCGGACTGCCGCGTGGCGCGTTCTCGTTGAGGGACCGTACGCGGCCGGTCGAGGAGCTCCCGCATATACGCGAGCCGGAACCGTATCTGGCATATGGGAATATGCGGCTGTGCGGCTGCTGTCCGCCGTATTCTCGGAGGCAGATTGGCGAGAGAGTCTCTGCCGCCGCCGCCGCTGGTAATATTCACTGCGCATATCCGAACGAGGATGGAATGTCTTCAATGGCTTCGATGGCATGGCCGGCCGCACGAGAGCGACGTCGAGACCTCCAGACGATCACTCCCACGTCTTCCTTCATAGATTCTCAGAATGTTCCTAGCGTTGTGACCATTTTTGCTTATTGGATTTCGACGGGGATATGCTGAAGAATGGCATTGTACAGCCCGGTCAGCTAGACTCCTCCGGCCTCCTCCTCGGCTGTTGCAGGATGTTGGATAGTCCCCAACCATATTTCGGTTTTGTTTCCATATTCCTATTTTCCTATTTACCTATTTTCCTACGAGGAGGCCTTGAGTTGCAGCGTCGGTGTACTATTGACGACTGAAGTCGTCGAGGCATGAATCACAACCATGCCTGTCATGGCATTTGCTTCCCGTCCGTATGAAGTGAACTAGAGCACCGAAAGATGTTGGTCCTGGGTTGTAAGAGCCTGGGTCGCGAAATAAACCTTGACTGCTGCTTGAGCCGCAGTGTTAGTGAGAAGAAATAGTGATATGTGCCAGGGAAAGGGGAGTGCAGACTTCAGATGAAAAGTGTGCAGCAGGGGCGGGCCAACTGGAAAAGCGTGGAGGCGGTTGAAGACAAACTGAGGGACAGCGACAGCGACAGGGTTGTTGCGTCAAGCGCAATGATGAGAGAAGGTTGACGCTGGCGATTCGTCAAGCAATCCACAACTAATGGACGCAAACAAACACCTCGTCCGACCGAGACTGGTGGTTTTCATCCCTCCACTGTAACTGGCACACTGTCCTCCACACACCACCAGCACCAGCTCCACGAGGCACAGTTTTCTCGAGCCCAAATCATCGCTGATGTGGTGCGAATGGCACCGAGCTCACTCACTCCTGTAACAAACGAACACATCTGAACCGACTCCCTGTCACCAAGCAAAGGCTCAGCGGCCATGCGATCCGTATAAGCGTTTGTGACGGAAAGTTAGGGGCCGTGGCCATCGTGGTATACTTCCACGACCATAACCATAACTATACGAACCCTTTAGGACCAAAGCTCTCTGTACGCTTTCTTCTTTGCCAACAAAGTCTTTTCCCCTTTCCATCGCTCCCAACTACTATGGAGTCATAGAGCAGAAATTTGTCGCCTCAATCTCACTCCCTTTGATCGACCTTTCAGTGTCTAATCTTTTGTCGCGATTATTGATTGGAGTCAGGACGTGATGCGCAGTGTTTGCCAAGGTCATGTCAAATTTTTGATTTATACTCTCGTGAGGTTTTTATGATCTTGATTCTTTTTCTTGCTAAAACTTTTTTAGATCAAACTTCTCTTCAGTTCAGCTCATGTATTATTCGAGAAATAAAGTTGGTTGTCCCTGTTATATAAGAGGCACAGTTATTGGGCTCATCAGTAAAGTTGTTCGTGAATTATCTTGGAAATAGCATCAATGAGATGAACCACGTATATCGACTCTTTATGGTGTATGAATTTCTCTATGTTTTCTTGTCATGAATTTACATTATGCTCACAATAGGTAATACGGAATGGTACTTTTCTTTCAATCATTGTGAGAAAAGTGAAAAGTGAATAAATTTACATAGTGACACTTCCCTAAATGAAATCACTATAAATCTCATTCAACTAATTTGAATAGAGGCATACACGATTTTATTTTATTTTACAAATGATTTTTTACATGTAAAAAAGTCTTTCACATGTGAAAAACAAATGCACGTCTCCACATGCATTCTTTTTCCAATCTATCTCTTCTAATGAATTTAAATTCGTTGAAACCAGTTAGAAATTTATCGAGGTTGGACTATAAAAATACCAATTTTTTAAAGAATTTGATGGTTCGCGTTTGCCAATGTGAGTTATGGATTTAGTTGATTGTTGTTTTGCATATAGATTAAAATATATGCAAAACCGCACAAAAAAATACTTGATTCCATTCATGTGTTTGATTATCAAAATTTATTTTCCCATGTGGATTATGGTTTTGGTGGATTGTGGTTTTGCATACAGAATAATATATATGCAACACCACAATAAAATATAATTATATCATTCATGTCTTTGATTATCAAACTCTCTGTAATGTTCATTTGGAAAAAGTAAATTGTAAATGTCTAGTACACGAAGATGAAATCATATTTTCAACATTCCTGCCGTCGCTCTTATAATCCTGGTATACATTCAGCTCTAGCAAGGTGGACAAGTTGGCCATGCATTTGGGCTTTTTCATTCCCATCAGCTGTTCTCTACAACAAAGAGTTGTTTGCTTTACCTTGCCTATCAACCTTTTACCCAGATATCATTACTCTGTACTACTTGAAAGACCTTCGTACTATTTCCTTTGATTATTAGGACTTATATTCTAATGTAATATTCAACCTGGAGGATCCATGTGAAGAGAAAATATGTTTCTTCAATTTTGGGCATAGTAACTCCAACTATACATATTGATGACATGATTAGTTTTCCAATTAATTTACGTGCCTACGATCTTGTCTCCCAAGAAATTCGTGCAGCAGCGGATCCAAAGCTTAGAACTTTGTGTACAAAAAATATGTGGATTAATAAAGGCATTAAAGCATCGATGGCAGCGTAGGAGATGGACTTGGCAACAGAATGAGCAGCCAATGTCAAAGAGAACCCCGAGTGCCCAAGCGAGTTATACCTTTCCCTTTATAATACTCTTTCCAATTCAAGAAGAAGAAGTGGAAAAGATCCTGAAAAGTTCACTCATTGTAAAAGCGGCTACGTCTCCTCTAAAGACTGCAGTTCAAGAAAGCTCCATACTTTTGGTGAAAGCAACCCTCCAAAAAATAGTCGATAGATTGGGCCGAGGCACATGCAATCGGGTTGGGTCCTCCTATATCAATTAGCTTTTCACACACATATCGAGTAAAATAGATGTCGGAAAGACGGTATAGCCCAATGGAGCAGCAGCAGCAAAAATAGACATGTTTAATTGCATGCCCTGTATTTCGCACTGGATGCTACCAAAATACACTTACAGTAAGATGGAAATACCTGTTCACAGCTTTGACAGTGGCGTGGAAATAATTCTCTCAGTGCTACGACCGTAATTGGTTTCTGTATAATACTTGGCCAAAGCGCACAGCGTTCGAAGGATGACTGGAGCGAGGACCCAGCGAATGCGAGAATGCCCCTCAAAGTTGGAGTCAGAAGGTTGAAGGTCGGTCCAGTGACGGACCCACCTCGTCCCACATCTTTCCGGCCGTGCGGCAGCCTTCGTAAGCTCTCCGGCAAGTGTTGGGTGCCAGAAATAAATCCGGCCCCAAACAGTTCAAACAGTTCTCCTTAGTCTCCTGGATGGTGCCGGAACATAAGTTCTCCACTATGAGCATGCCGGAACTTCTTCCGTCCGGATTTTAGCCGCTTTGAGAAGGTAGGACGGCCGGATTTTCCCTGAACTAGTGCAGAGTAGATCAAGACGTCTCAGCATTCGCACCATGCCGGAAACATTGGGGTGCGAGAAAAAATTCCCGAAATGGGTGTCATCCGGGAAAAAATCCTCCGCCAACTTGGGGGTGGAGAAAAACGGACGAAAATGGGTCTGGATCCAATCCACGGCATGATTCTGGGGATGCCGGATATTTAGAATGTGCTTTAAGCTCGCAACCATGTGACCACTTTTCGGCAAGCTGGAATTTCAGAAGGACAGAATGTCGCCCTACCCGACAGGGCAGGTCCTTAGATTCATGACCGAATTGACCGGATTGACCGGCTTTATGACGAGGCCTGCAAGGCTTATCCGGTGTGGCTTGCCGGTTACATCTCGGCCCCAGCCGCCAGTTCCAACTCCCCCTGACCCGGCCAACTTCGAGCGTTCCGTGAGTCCCTTCCCCAGCGGAACGAGGAGACCATGAACGGCATCCAGGCACTGCCACGCCGGCCCGGCCGTTGGTCCGAGGTCGCGAGAAATGTGCACCTGTCCGTGGCATTCGCCATGAAATTCGCGAATTCGATACTAGATCGATGGCACATTCCGTCCCTGGAGTCGATGCGAAGTGGTGCCACCGATCGTCCGTCCTCCTCGGACCTCGCCTTGCCTTGCAGGGAAAGGTTCGGCGATTCCCGTTCGCCTGCGGAAAGAGATTCCGATTTCGGTGCCAAGAATTTTGAGCCCCGATGGTGACCAGGAGAGGCGATGCGGTGCCGACCCGGCGCGTTGGATTATTGAAATTGGTCTCGTGTCACCTTTTGCAGCTTTCGAAATTGCTTTCCTGCAGTGAGTGCAGAGCTTTCCAGACAGAACGCAGTAATCAAAGAGACTGGAAATGTGCGAACGAGCGCGTATAGCTGCAGCTGCCATTGGTGGATCCGACTGCAGGATCTAGATCTGCGTGAGGTGAGCGAAAGGGAGGGATCCGCTCGCTCGTCCACGCCCAACAGATGGAGCTCGTTGTCTGGATGTGAAGTCGAGCACATCTCTTCGGCGCACGTGAACGCAAGATGGGGTGGATTTAAAAGAGAATATCCAGCATCTTCCCGCTTTCGAGCGGATTTTGCAAGGCATATCCGCCGGGGGTTCCGTGTTCAGAGGGCGCTTTCAAAATCCCATGCCGCAGAATTGGAGGTTCATGTTGCTCAGCCGCTTCTAAAGTAAGGCAGGATGACAAATTTCTTGCAGGGCTGATGCTTCTCACTGCGCCCACCCCACGCGAAGATTGGCGATCGGCTGTCTGAACCCGATTGTCATCATCGTACAAACGCCTCGGAATATCTCCCCTTTACACTGGCATCTTCTGTCATATGCTCGATCTTTTATCCGGATCAGTCTTGCTGCAGGTTATTATACTCTCAGATATGGCCTTTAGTCTCCGTGATAATCAAAGGATGAATGGCATATGGGTAACATCATGATCAACAGACTTTTTTGTGACCAGTATGTCGTAAATAGAAGTTGCGTCTGTCTGTGTCCACATGTGAAATTCGGTGCTGATTTCTATAGCTACTGAGCGACTACTGCTGAATCCTCCTGACATTAGGTGGAATCTCGATCACAGTCTTCCTCGCATTGATCTAGCCATTCCGTGGACCTGCGGCACAGCATCCATCCCTGATCTGACTGATTGGTTCAGATCCAACACTGAAGCCTCGCGACTGCTAAATCGTATTCATGCATGCATGTGATACCGGGACTTATCTCTGCTGACAATTCGGAAACACACTTACATGGAAATTTTTCGAGGTCGAAGAAAGTTTGTCCCGTAAGAGGAGTTTATGACTTTCCTTTGGCGAGAGAGATGAGGGAGAGAATGTGCTCTTTACAAATGGCTCTTCAAAACTGAGAGAGGTGATAGGATAAGGGCTCAGGTCCAAAGCCCGAGGCTTGTTCTCGATTCTGTTCAGCAGACTTTCAGTGTATTAAGTCGACGGAACAACATTAAAGAACTGCGAGACAAGTGGCGAGTTGCTTGCTCAAGTCATACGCTGGAAGATTTAGAAAAAAAGGGTCCACTACACGGTGTTCATTTTTTGAGGCTACCAACGAGTATCCTGATGACATGATCACATCGATGACTGCATTCACTTGAAACCATTGAGATTGAATGGACCTTCTATCGTCCGAACTATACCATTCCATATGAAGCCATACATTTATTCTATCTGTATGAAATAAACATTCTACTGAAATTGAGCTGGTACGTGAGAAAGTGTGTTTGCTTTCTGTAGTATTGTGGAGTTATCCATTATCACAAGTACACATTTCGAAACAAACATGCGCTTTCTTATCAGGGAGTACTGAGGGTTTAATCAATCATCAATTTTGCCACAAATGCCGTCTTGGTTATAAGAGTAAAATATGTATGAATTGAGGGCAAAGCTGTCAATTTGACGACTTGCATTACAGATTACGGATTTGGTGCAAGGATAAACTTATTTGCATTAAAAGTTATCTTTTCAACGTAGACTGATTTTTTTACGTCTCCATGGGAAAGGCTATTAGTTAGGTTTTCTTTTCTTAAAATTGGAAAACTTTTCGCCTTTTGATGAAAGGCCCAAAAGGAGGAGAAAGCATGTGAAGGGAGGGACGGCCGTCAACGATACAAATTGCTTATCCTTCGATATCTTTGTTGAGCCAGAGCGCTTCTATGTGAACATTAGTTTCAACCCCATCGGTCCACATAGTTCAGGGCTGAGCATGTATATAACATTACCGCTGTGAGATGGCTGATCATGAGACTGTAAAACCTTAGTTTGTTGACAGGTCCCATGCCATGTAGTTACTAAGACGGCTGGTCAATTTCACCGACAAGAGTGATTACGAGTGACGTACACTGACACAGACATGTATATGTACACAGTACATGGGGTAGGATCAAGTTAGTGTCAATATCCGCAACAATAGTTTTCAATGCAATCAATATTTCGAACGTGCCCTCTCCAACGAGATCTACTAGGCAGGCCGTCTAACTTCTCTGGAGAAAAAAAGGTTTTATCTCACGATGAGTTCGTACTATTTTGCAATAAAACTGAAGGAGACCACGGGCATCATTCGAAATCCACTACGAGGCGATGCCGCGACAAGAAACGATGTACTGGCTTCCAAAGATGTCTTTTTCCGTTCTCCCATCCTCACAAGCGTTCAACATACTAAGAACGCAATTAGCAAAACTTCAGTGGAGATAGCCTTGGCCTACCACATATTTATCCAGAGACGAGTCCAACTAATGGGACATATGTTTTGCAATGGAGTCCAGAGTCGTATATAATCCAGAGTCGGTGATATCTTAGATACAGTTCTTAGGTCTCAAAAATCTGCAGAGCTCTTATGAGACCTCTCATGATATTTATCTGACTATCCGCAGGTTTGCGTACTCTTAACGTCTCCTTCTAGAAACAGTGGAACGGGCTGCGAGCATGATTGTCATCAAGTCTCTTCCGGAGGGTGGGTCCTTCACTAACTTGCTCTAGGTACCACAAGTCCTGGAAGTTCTTGATGGCTCAGGACCGCTTCAATGAATATGAACAGGAGTTTGATGCTCGAGTATCTAACATTGATGATCTACTGACTAATGGGTACGGAAAACTCTCTTTATCTCACAAGTTTCATTTATGATTCTGACACTTGGTAAAAATTGCACTGGCCAAAAAGCCACGACGATGTCTAATCTACTTATTCGATAAGCTGCTTGCCTTCGTCTCCAAAAATGCTATCTGCTCCGTAAGTCTAGTCTTGGTGTTCACCATCTTCAACCATCGTCTTTTGACTCTTGTCTGCGCGGGTTCAAAATTCTTGTCAGATGACTAATTATCTATTTTGGAAGCAAAAAGAAGCACTAGTAGTCAAAATACCTCAAGTGATGTAGGGAAAGCATGATGAGAGAAGAGCTTACAGGAACATTCATGATATGCCCAACTGCAAAAGATGCAACGATAGGGTCGTAGGTAGACTTCACCAAAGCTGGTACTGAAAGACCCTGTGATAAAAATTTGTATGACGGGGTTATTCTAGCTTGATAGGCATAGTATACAAATGTCATCAGCCAAGTTGACCATTCGTACCATTCTACAACCCCGGCTATCAAAAACATCGATCGTGGACACATTCCCGTTTCGACTTAATTGTGAGAACTAGTTCTTTTAAGCCAAAAAGGTCAAGTGGAGAGTGCACCTCTGGGATAACTTCAAGACATAGAGCTACAGCACGCTTGGCTAGTTCCGCAAGATCTTCTCTCTCCTCCTTGGTCTCGCATTCCTTGTCATCAAAATATTGTACCTAGAGAAAACATATCAAGTAGTATCTATATGAACATCTCGTTACCTGATAATTAGCTATGCTTCGGAGCATAGAGCCTCAGAAGATGAACGCCTTACTGACATCCTTCAGTCGAGACGAGAAACTAAGTTCCAAGTACGTCGATTTTGTCATTGATCTTTCCACAAATATGATGAACAGTTTCCACAGAACTTCTTTGAAATCGACCTCAAGTTTTGAATATCAAATCTTACAATCGAAAATGTGAATTTCAAACAATATGAATAACACCAACATACGAGTATAACCAGCAAAACTACCTGTCCTGTCGTCAAGCCGAAGGAGCCTGGTTCGGCACAGATCCTACCAGCACAATACAAAAGGTATCAGAGACTATATGTGATCACTAATGACAATATACAGTGGATCTGCGGCCATTTAGAGACTAAACAGATGTTTTAGTTCCAATGACAGTTGTGAAAGATGAAAGGTAAGATAAGTAAGTAGTGTAAAATGAAGGACTACACTGAACGGAATGAAGTGATCCAGTCATGATTGCCCTTAGTACAAAAATGGGTGGTTAAATAGACGGTGGAGTTTATTCTTCTTTACTGGAGCCTAAAAAGTATCTGAAAGGCTTAATGATGGCTGATTGAGATGACCGGCAAAAGTTAGTGGCAACATGAGTACTTGCTCGAGTTAATGCGAACAAAAGAAACATCCAGTGGCCTGGGAAAGGAACGAAAGTTGAGCTCATATGCAAAATCAAATTGTATATCTGTAATGCATGAATCACCATGCAATGATAAAAATACAGCAATTAAACCTCGTGAGACTACTCCTCATTGTACACGAAATACGCACAAAACGAGACGTAGAACAAAGAGACCTGATCTTGGACACGAGTAGCGTGCGAAATGTGTAGGCTTGACATGAAAGCAACAAGCGGCCTTCCCACGAAAACATAATTTGGTGCTTGCTTATAGCACAATAAGTAACAACGCATAACGAACGCCCTCAAAGACATAAGAAGAAGAGACATAAACATGAAATTCTTTTCTCGAAGTTTACAAGATGGAAATCTTCTATCATCAAATAAATAAAGACAATGTCCGTTTATCTACTCCAAGCCACACCGCAAACAAAGCAGCTCCAACAATCTCTTGTCGCGCTATGTTCCGCCAAGTAGACAGAACAGACAAAGCAACACCTCGTGCCCAAATAATCATCCTCGTTCATGTGCTCAACTAGAACCTAGCTGCTTTCAAGAAATGTTCCATGACAAGGATAACTCATACCTTTCGTTCGGCACTCGGAAGCGGCGAAGACCATGAGCAATTATGTAAGATCTACAGTCTCTTTGAAATGAGTGCACCTTCAAATTCTGACGAACAGACATGAAAACAATCATCCTGAAATTAGATACTCAAAACTAAGATGAATCAAAAAGTCCATATGGGCGTGCACGAGTCGCATTCTCTTCAAAATGCATCACAAAGGTGCAGTCAGCGACAGATAAGCTACCACCGGGCATAAATGCTTCTCACATTTATCAGAATTTTATGACAATAGCCTACTCTTACAGGCGAGGTTAGATACAAACGCAATGCAAAGATGTAAGGCAAGTGTCCCTACGAGAACATATATGGACCAGAAATGACGAATTAAAACATGTTTTCATAATAAAAATTGAAGAGGACCGAAAAGAATTAAGTCACTGAGAGCAGAGAGAGACAGAGACCGCAACAGTGCCGATGATCTCCCCCGATTCATCCGCGTCAGTAGTCCATGACCCATTGTACATGGCCGATAGTCCGAAGGGCTTACCTTTCTCCACACAAAGCCTTACCTGTACCATGAATCAAAACTTCAGTGCATATCGGGTATAACGGAGGGCTGAGGTATAGAACAAGCCCACAAAATGTGAGAAAGGCAGTGCGGCAGAAGGCATCGAGATTTCGCATAATCGATTTACCGCCTGAATTTCTTTTGTGATACTTGAACTACAGGCTGAAGACATCCTTTGCCGCAAGAAAAATTAAGTTTGTGAAAGAAGACGAGAAATATACCATAGATCTGTAGCAAGGTTCAAATATGTGAAACGGCATGGACCATCCGGGGAAGAGCACCGAATCAAACAACGCAAGCGGCAGTCTCTCCAAGGTCCCTGCATCTTTTCTACAACTTGACCGGACTGCTGAACAATCCTTTGGATCAACTGACAAGCCACCCAGTTCTACAGTTTTTTTATGAGAAGAGGTCGCCATCTCTGATTCGGTAGCACTTTCCCGAAAAGCTCGACCTACATTTTCTTTCATAAGTTTTCTATTTAGTTGGTCCAGAACCAATGAGCTCGCTCCAGGCACGCTGCTTCCCGGTGACGAGAAAAGATGTTGAACGGCGACATTCTTGGGGAGGAACAATTTAGTGCTGATAGCTTCACTGCACAGCACACAATGTGATAGGCCATTCAGCACAAGTAACCTTCTCACCTCTCATTATAGAAAAACTAAGTCAAACACTAAAGCAGTGAAGAAAGGTCAGCTACAGCTACATCTACATTTCATGGCAAGCCGTCAAGGTTCACAGTGAACGTGTATAAAACAGCGTTACATATGGTTTTCACATGTTGCTGTTATAGTTCAGTCCAATAGCCAGATGGAATGCACTCAAAAATAAACTTTTCAAATTTCATTTCAAGGTGATTCAATTATTCGTGACAATGATATCAATTTAGCAACAATAGACAGCCATAGATATAAGGCTTTCATATATAGGATGCGGTCTCAAAACATAGCATAACACTTACTCGAGAAAGACAAAGCCAGGTATTCGCGGCATTGCTATTGACATTCGAACAAATTCTGCAAAGGCATCAGCAGGAACATCTACTCCTCTTTCTGATACAGCCAGGGGATTGTAGATATTAGAACTTCACTTGCGAAAGGCATCTGATAATTTCCACGCAGATAAATCAGTTGCTAGCGCTCAAGAACCTGTGATTCGGTAGGATCTTCACCGTTTCATCTCACAAACCTTTTGCTGAAATTGCCAAGCCAACAACTCCGGTTGTAACAACGTTGGATCCGAAAAACAAGGGGCTGGAAGTCTTCTCAGCAACTTTCGTCCATTGGCTTTTCTCGTTAGTGAACAATGGCGCAAGAAAGGCACCTGCTCTGCAATCTGATCGGCATTACTGGTGAGTGATTGTAGCCAAGCATTTTAAAAGATGGATAGGAGTAAAGATTGTTCTTGAACATAGACCAATCAGTTGTCTTACGTTTTGGCATATGTACAAGTACTACAACTAAAGATTCGATATGTTAAAACTTTGGAAACCAAAAACAATGAAAATAATTATATAGGAACGTCCAAGAAAGAAAAGAGCAGAAAAATCATTTAAGAATGGCATCTAAAAAGAATGTGGATGTATTTTCTTCAAAAGTAACGTATTGATATGTACTGGATTGGAACTTTCATGAATACGATTCGACATTTACAATGCCCTTCAAACTTACGACTTGCCAAGGTGAAGAGACATTGAGGACACTCCCGAATGTGATTCGACATACTACTCATATGCACGGCTCGCACCTAATCTGGATAAGCTTGGACACGAAGAAAATTATCAACATATGTGCAAAGTCTGAGTCGGACACCCACCTGCAACTCAGAGGGAAAACTGAAGACAGCCTTTGAATAAAGTCTGGAAATACGAATCCTGTACATAAAACACATCCCCCAAGGTGCAGTGTTGGTAAATTGATCAAGATGCCAAGACTTTGGTACTTTTGACATCAAGATGAAACAGGCAAATAAATCCTACAAGGCACAACAAAACGACAGTAACAAATCACAGCAAGGGTACTTTAGAATCTTCTATGGAAGTCTGTGAGGAACTGACGGGGGGAAACTTAACAACATACTCCGTATGCTGAAATAGAAACTTCAAATTATCAGCAGCATATAGCAACAATCCTATATAGTGTCTCTAGAAGGCTTGAAGTCTTGGACTCTTGACAGACACTGAAGATTTGAACCAAGGTGATAAAGACAAGAGGAGCACAGACCTGGTGCGCCTAACAAAAGCATATGTGGGTTGTTAGTAGTGACGGCTTCTTCTAGGTCAGGAAGACGTGGAAGGCCTGTAGTTGAGGAATGAAATGCTAACGCTTTCGCTCCCGGCATGTGCCCAACACACAGAATCAGCCTGTAATCATCATCCCACTTCTCCACATTCGATTCCGGTCCCGCATTGGGTTCAATAGCACCAGTCCAAATTTGTACAGGAGAGGACCCCGGATCATCTCTCCCTAATCCACCATGCGAGGGAACAAACTCTCGGATTATCACACCTTCGTCTCCACAGTTACCTTTGTGCGCCATTTTATGGCCTATATCTGAAACTATTAAACCGTGAGTGCCATCATCCACTTTCCTGTTCTGCATGATTGCCTTGGTCTCACTACTTTCCGGATGGAGGCCATCTTCTTTGACTCCACTCTCTTCAGACAAACTTTCTGGAGGTTTGGTCAATGCATTTAGGAAGCTGACTAATCCTTCCTTCGAAACTTCTTCCTCGTAACTCACGTTAATGCTCTCGGCTGGCTGCTCGTCTTCCTCTTGATCGTCACTTTCTCTCCCAGTCGGTTTCGAACTCACTTTTGCGGCTTCATCTAAATACTCAGTACACACTCCCTCCCAATCAGAAAGTGAAGCTTCGTCTTCGTCGTCGTCAAAAGGGGTTCGATCTGATCCAAATGCACGGTCACGCCTTGTCCCAACATGCGATGCCCTTGGACTACAATCCTTCTGAGTCTGAGAAGATGAAGCACTACTTTGGCCTGTTTCCCTCGATTCGAAGTCACCCATATCATCCATAATGCAGGCAACAAAAGGAGGGATCTCTGTGTGTTGTCCATCAAACTCTTTTCCTGTAACACCCGCACCCGCAGATGATCTGAATTCAGATTGGGTAGAAATTGACTGTTTAGCAGTATCATGAGAGAAGCTGGTTTTAGCAGTTTCGACCACGGCGGCCTCCAATGTGCTACTTCTCGTCTCGGAATCTTGCCTAGGAGGAGCTAATGGCTTATTACAAAATGCCAACTGCTGAGCAAAATCTCGAAGGGCTTGTTCGGCCGATTCAGAGGGTTTAGAAACGAACGCAACAGCAAAAGTTGGGGGAGAGCTAGACCCGATCAATGAACAAGCATGCTGCCATACATTTAAAGGCGAACGCCGTTTGGTCATTGCCTTCACCACCACTGTTGCAAATTCAAACTTTCTCCCGTCAGCTGTACAGTGTGTGGCAGTGAAACTCTGATCAACCGATTGGCCCGTCTCGATTCCTTCCACCAAGGTCCCCAGATCACCAGTTCTTCTTCCTGCATCTCTTCCTCCCTCAGTTGTCGCCGTCGAAAAGCCTCTGGAGTACAATGCCTGGATCTGGCACGTATAGCGCCATGCCAATTGATGCCCACGAACCCTAGAACACCCGACAAACGATGAAATCCCCTGAAGCATTTTGCACCGAATTCCGTCTGGTCCTCGCAAAAGTGAAAGGAAATCAGCGCCAGCCCCGCCACTGACTCGATGCAGATGGTCGAGCCCCAAAAACCCTTCCAAACCCCAAGAACCAGAACGTCAGAAATTCGAATTTCCAAGACTGGTCGTCGCTCTTCTACCTACTGTGCTCGACTTCTCCGGGCCTTGCTTCATTGCTCTGCTGCTCGATGGACGCTCACTCCGCTCGATTGTACTGAAACACGACCAGCGCGCTCGCTTCGTCCTCCAAAGTGAGCAGCCGCAAAGCAAGACTCGCGCGCTGTGCCATTCTTCGCGGTACAAATTCGTGGCACAAATTCGTGGCTTGTTCAATGTGCCTGCCTAATCTGCTGCTGGCACCACAGATCTAAGACCCAAAACCTTCAACTGCTTGAGCGTCGCCGACGCCCATCATCGTGATTTCGATCCATCTCCCATCGCCTTCAAGTTCATTCCCTCTTCCGATCGGTCTTCGAGGCTCCGTTCTTCCCATGAACCGCACCACGTCGTCTCGCATCGACGGCGTCGATGCCACCCGTCGAAGTTTCAAACTTCGACGAATATGTCGTTAGCAGCTTTCGGTAGGTTTGACGAATTGGGCTTGTTTAAACTTTACATGTCCGTCTCATATGCACGGGAGAGTCTTCATTCAGATTAGATGTCAAGACTTGTTGGGTTTGGATATATGACGGAAATCCTGACTGCATGAATTTTAAAGATTAGATGTCTGCGATCCAATTTGCTGTCTTGATGACATGTATATCTTCCATGGTATATGATTTGAAATTAATTTAGATGAGATAAACAAATCACATAAATTCCAATTTTGCATCATTTAATATGAGTCAATCATGTTTGTCGCACTGGCTACTGCATTTTATAAAGTTATGAAATGGTTGTAGATTAGAGAATATAAAACATAGCAATCTCTGTTAAATTCTACATTCATAAAGTCAATATCACTCCAATCAAATGAGATGCGAATTCCGCAATTTCAATATTGGGAAACATTGATTGCTATTATCCATCTGCACAAAAAGAGTTCTCGTCTTTATGTAATTATCACAAATAGTTTAGAATTATAGTTGGAATGAAAAGTAGTTATAAATTAAAATTATATTCAAGTCGAGAAGTATATTAAGACAAAATTTATAATATTGTTGAATTGAGAAGGAATCGAGACTTGCGACTTGAAGAAGTTGTATGAAATAAAAATCAATATTGAAAGGATTGACATTAGTCAATCCAATGTTTCGGTGAAATGAAAACTATCATTCACTTGAAGATTCAGCGTATAGTCATGTATATGTTTTCTGCAATTTACTCAAGGTTTTATAATGTATAGATTTTAGTTTTTGATATATTTTATACCATCAATATCATTAAACAATATTTTTTTTCATTTTAATAATTTTAATATCAAATGTTCTCAATTTTATGAAATTTTATTAATCTTTTAGGATTAGAGAAGTTGAATTTGTAAATTATTTAATTTCTGTTATTATTTTTTTGCGTTCGTCTACTAGTTTATCACTTAATTTCTTGCCTGAAACAACGCAGAGTTTTATTAGTAAGGATTTGGATCTCTAAGGGTAGCAAAATTTTTCGGAAGTCAAATGTACGTTAATTCGTCCATATTATTTCTTGTATAAATTTATTTACACTTTTTAAGAAAAAAAATCAAAAAGATCTAGAATGAAGTTCTAAAGAAGAAGTATTTGAAATAAAATATATATGATAAAATTCTCTTGACGATATACAACAATAAAAGTTTGTGCTCGTTAGATCTCAATACAACTTGAACCAAAGTCAATATTATTACAACTTTATTTGATATGTTTCAAGTTTGTAATCTAAATATGAGACACAAGAGTGATAAGTAATTCATTTTGTAAAAGTAATAAAGGTTTGTAATTTAGTTTAGGTAGAATTGACTTAAAATTGTGAGCATAGGGTTATATACAAACAACATAGTATAATTTTATGCATGGTTTATGCTTTCCTACTAACTTGTTAAACTACGACTTTACTCTTGTTAGTGATTGTTTATAAATAAAAACCCATCCTAGAAATAACGTTTCTTGAATATATCATGTATAAATGTACAAGATACCACGGTATATATCAAAGGATGAATTATTAAGTGTTAATCTAGATGTTTAATAGATTATTAGTTTGATTGTGATTTATTGATTTCAAAAAGACATTGTTATATACAAGAAAGATGAAAGTATTTGACTTTAAAAAATAGCACTTTTTATATATCATATGTTTCTCATAGACGTAACTTTGTTGTGACTCATCAAATTTTTCCTTTGTTAACTCTTCAATGCGTAGTTTTTTGATGTATTTGTTTGAGTATAACATGAATGCTAGTCTTTTTATTTGATGATATCACGCTCTGAATAGTTCATATGATTAACACTTCACTTTGATTTTTCTATTAAATTTATTAATTTAAGAATTTTCAATTTTGCACGATGATATGTAGATATTGATGTTGTATCAAAGATTTTTTAAAAATATTTGAAGAATTATTTTATGGTTAAATAATTCAATAATAAATTATAGAGTATACATGATAATGATTTATGAAAATATTTGCAATTTCGAAAAGAAGAAGTAAATATATGAGCTTAAAGAGTATCGCATAACATGCTTCTGTCTAATTTTATCAAGTATGACATAATTAAGACATGTTTTAGATATATAAAATCACAATTTAATTTAAAATCAATTTCATAATATGTATTAATACAAATTAATTGTATATGTATATGTGTGAGTATTACATTTTACTTGAACTTATTATTGTTAAAATGAAAATTTCACTTTTTCAAGCCTCACAAAACTCGTATATGAATCACAAACATTTAAAGATTTGATGGCTATTTTCATTGGTGTGCATACTACAGTATATTAATGGCTAGACCCTTTTTTTTAAAAAGCTTGAGACAATAATGGATTATTTATAGACTATTCTTTCTTGCAAAAATTTTATAATGTTTTGCAAATTTATTAATTAAAGTCTCATAGTAGAGCCAATCATCTAAGATGCTTGATGAAGGACTAAAATATTTGAAGATATATACAAAGTAACGACTAAAACTGCGGTCGAAATCATTAAAGTATTAAATTCTGAACGGTTTATACAAAGTGTAAATGATTTTTGTCATAAATTCAAATATTAAGCCAACCATGTATCTTCAAGGTTGTTCCGAATGTGCTCAAATGAACTGGGAAAAGGAATTATTATAACAGAAGGTAAAAAACTAAAACCTGATGTGCATCAAAGCTGGACATCGTTAATAACATGTGAATATTTTCTATATCAACCTAGAAAAGGTTGATATATTAAACAGTTGATGCGTTCGGATACTTATTATCTGAAGCCCACTTTCCTATCAACTTCACAAGTGCATCTCTACTTTCTGAAGTAAGTAAGTAAGTAAGAGTGTATATATATATATATATATATATATATATATATATATATATATATCTATCTATCTTTGTAGGAACAACTTGTATAGAAATTGATTTTCAAAGCTTTGGTAAAATATAATACTAAAAAAGGTGTAAGTATGTCAAGAGGTGACCCTGGAGGTATATACATCTATTACAGGTTTCACCTTTATGTTTAAGGTTATGAGCTTCAAAATTATCTGATACTTATGTGTAATCTCAGAAAAAAATGGATTATTGACTGAACAAATAAAATGATCAAAGTATGATGTACTTGGCTAACTTAAGTAGGTTTTGGGCAGCATTTGTTGCTAAAATCTATGATGTATTGAAAAAGTGACCACTTCTTTGGTGCAGGATCGAACTTCGGAAGGTTTTTGATGTAGCTAGAAAACCTGATGGGAATAGATTGGATATTTTTGATCTTTTGCCTCTGCACAGATGTTCGAAGAATTCGGAAAATGAGAAGGGTTATAAGAAGAATAAGTGTTCACTTAGTTGAGGAGCTTTCGCTCTCTCGCTCCGAGTTTGGGGTGTTTGGTTGTTTATGTTAATGGGCATTCGTTCCATCTGCTCATGGTGGGGTTTTCCATTGTACTCTAACTATTTTGCAGCCGATTCTCTTACTGTATTCCCCTTCAGATTTCAATGTGTCACTAAAAGCAATTGGCCTAAGTTGCCACGGTGGTGGGGTTAGACATGCAATTTTCGGATTTGCTTCAGTGTCCTATTGGTGTTTTCTGCCATGCAATTTTCGTTCCAATCTTTGCTGCTTTTCGGTCTATAGCACTGTAACCTTCAGACTGCAAAATCTGTAACTAGATTTTTCTGCCCATGTTGCGGGTCTCACAAAATTGAAGCAGGACTCTATACTCTGCCATCATCTCTGAAGCTTGTGCACCGAAGTAATCGTGCAAATCAGAATTTCAAGGTGTTCGACAGGAGGAGGTTCACCACCACCGACAGTTCCAGGGTTCCACGAAAACGCCACAAGCCCCGAAGAGTGAAAATCAGAGAGAGAGAGAGAGAGAGAGAGAGAGAGAGAGAGAGAGAGAGAGATCAAAAGCACGAACGAATGAAATGAGTTAGGAAAATGTCAGGAGGGTGAGTGAACAGCACACAATGCAAGTCAGAAGATGAAGAAGTTCGAGCAACACCGACGACGGTCTGGCAATGCATGCCACGACAGAAGCAAAGGCTGATTCCGGATGCGGATGCATTAGATTTATGGGGATTTTTTTTTAATAATCGATAGAGTGACTGCGACTGCCGAGAGTCGCCTCACGGAGCAAAGACTGCAAATCCTCAACACACTCTGAGTTGGTCTCCGAACATGGCTTGCGGGCGGGCACGGAAGGCAGAGGGCAGGTGCCGGCCATGACATCGAGCACCAGGCGCATGCTGGGTCGGACCTCGGGGTCCGGATGGGAGCACAGAAGGCCCAGATACAGCAGCACCTCGGCCTCCTTGGGCTCGAACACGCACTGCAACCTGCGATCGACGCAGGCCAGCAAATTGCCCTCCTCCAGCCGCTGCCACACCGCGTCCACCAGCATGCGCTCGGGCTTGGGCGACGAGACGCTGAAGGCCGGCTCGCCCGTCACGATCTCTAGCGCCACGGCGCCGAAGGCGTAGACGTCCGTTTTGTCGGTGAATTTGCCGGTCGTGGGGACTTCCGGCGCGATGAAGCCGTAGGTGCCCGCGACGCGCGAGGTGGCGGGGGCCTGGTGGCGGTCGCGCATGCGCGCCAGGCCGAAGTCGCCGAGCATGGCATTGAAGTCGTCGTCGAGCAGAATGTTGCTGGACTTGACGTCGCGGTGGATGATCTGCTGGCGGCGGCCCTCGTGCAGGAAGTGCAGCGCCTCGGCCACGTCGCGGACGATGGAGAATCGCAGCCGCCACGGCAGCACCGCGCCGGCGCGAGGCCGGAACAGCGCGGTGTCCAGGCTCCCGTTCGTCATGAGCTCGTACACGAGCATGAAGTTGTCGCGCTCGCTGCACCAGCCCAGCAGCTTGACGATGTTGCGGTGGCGCACGCCGCTGATGATCGACACCTCGGCCACGAACTCCTTCAGCCCCTGCTTCGAGTCGTGCCCGAGCCGCTTCACGGCCACCGGCAGCCCGATGGCCGGCAGGTTGCCCCGGTACACTGTCCCGAACCCGCCTTCCCCGAGCTTCGACTCCTCCCGGAAGTGCCTGGTCGCCGCGCTCAGTTGCTTGTACGTGTAACGCACGCCGGAGCCGACGCTCGTCCCGAAATCCGGCTGCTCGTTCTCGAACCGGTTGCTGTCCTCGACTCGGCTCCTGCCCGCCGAGCTCGCGAACTTCGAGTCCAACACGGCCTTCGGTTTCCCGAGCTTGAAGTACAGGCATCCGGCGATGGCGCCGATCAGAGCCAGGCTTGCGCAGACTCCTGCGGCGACCGCCAAAGTGTACGTCCGGCTCCCGGGCGCTGGAGCCAGGGCCGGCTTACGCGACGCGAGGAGCCGGTTGCCGACCTGGGCAATGGGCGACGGGAAAGTCTCGAAGCGCCACTCCGTGACGGTGTAGAAGCCGACGCGGCCGCCGTGCTGGGCCGAGAACCCGACATACACGACCGGATTGCTGCCGAAGACCTGGACCAGGTCGACGGCGTCGGCCAGAAAGGGCCGCGAGGGCTTGGCGCTCGAGTTGCCGATCCGGACCTCGAGAGACTGCAGCGACGAGTTGTAGTCGATCCAGGCGAAAATCCGATCCCCGGAGAGGTCCATGCCCGCGGGACGGCGGGATGTCGTCTCGTCCGCGGTGGACCTGGACCTTGACGTGGCCAGGCTCACGCCGACGTGGCTATCGCGCAGCGCCTCGGGCTTCCGGACGTCGAAGTCGACATGGAGCGCGTTGCCGAGCAAGGGACGGAATTTGCCCGAATGCCCTCGTCGGAACTGCGAAGAGTTGAGCATGACGAACGCCAGGCCGGCGCCGCGCCGTGTCCCGTCCGACGAGCCGACGATGAACTGAAACGAGGTCCGGAACGAGTCGCAGCGACTCGTGTTCTGGTTGCGCAGGACGACGGGGTCCGTGCGGAGGGCCAGGCACGACGATAGCAGCGCAAGGGCTCCCGAGCCCGCGACGGTCGACGCGCCTTTGCTGCACCAGAGCTCTCGTCCTCCATCACAGCGGAACGGGAGGCCGATGGTTCCGGTGGTGAAATTCGCGCAAGAGCAGGAGGGGAAATCCTGGAAGACCAGCGCTGCGACGAGAAGGAACGCGCAGCTGCATCCGATCCTGGTCATCGTCACGGGATCGACGTCGAATTCTCGGCCTACCTAAGTATCGTGTACATTGTGGCGAGACCTCGTTCAGGAGATTCTGAAATCCGGCAGACCTCGCTGACATCAGGTGGATTACAGAAAATTTCTGGCGTCCAGCTCTTACTTGAACTGCTTCCGATTCTGACACCGGAATCGAAACCTCGACTTCCATTCCTCTGCCATGATCGCACCAACGCCTTGGTCAACGCTGGAATTATTGACAGGAAGTCAGTCGTTCACACCCACCTGAAGATTTGGCTCACTCCATGAACCGTGAAATTATCTCCCTCTCCTCCTGCACACCACTTGCCCCTGGACCTGCGATCTCCTTCCCGTCTCCAGCAGGAATTCGTAAATTAAGTGTGTTCTGTATGACACAGGATGCAACAACACCATCCCCGGATCGGATCGCTGAGAGGATGCACAAAGTGGAAGAACGGTTCCACTGAAAGGCACATGTATGATGTGCAATGATTATGCGACTTTGCAGTGTCTGCTGCTGCCGCTGTGCATCTGACGCGAGTTGAAGCCTGTCCACAACACTGAAAGCCACCTGAAGCCAATTTCAGGAAGGTGACTGGAAGTTAGTCGGACGAGACCAGAAATCTCTTCCTTCCTGCGACGAACATGAGATGCACGGCCTGCCTGCCTGCTGCAGTCGGCTGTGCATCAACCTTGTGTTTGGGGCTGCCACGAGTTCGATGGCATCTTCTTGGCAAGAGTGAATAATCAATTCTCCGGAAAGGTGACCCATGCTGCCGCTTCGTGGTTCGAACAAGAGAGTCCTAGGGATGCACAAAATGGTCAAGCACATCTAAAGAACGATTTTTTCTGGCGCTCTACTAACCTCCAGTTGCTACGGGCCTGCCATGGAGCTGGCACTGATACGGGGAGGATGCGTCGGAAGAGGCTAAGCATAATGCACCGTACCCGGCAAGCTTGAAAGGGGACGACTTTACTCCTCGAGCTTATATATTGCAAAAACCCCCGGAGGTCCACATTGCTTCGAACCTTTTTTCTTTCCGTCCCTATTTTAGTCACTCACTCGTACGATGATTCAGCCCAGCATCCTCCCCTGCACGAATTCAGCACTTGTTCTGCTGTCTTACCCTCCCATGACTGAGGCGGGGCATTCCCTTGAAGTTTGTGTTGACGGAGCAATCAAAAAAAGGATAGGATAGGAGTCGACAGAGAATCCCAGACATACCTGAGCACGGAGCCACATTCCTCTCCATTCATGTTCCCTATTCCTCTCCATGCACTTTCGTCTTGAGCCACACTCCATGGATCTCACTGGCACTATTTCCAACAGCTTTGTTCGTTTCCTGTGGCTGCTGAGTTACTCTGACTGCAATTTAGTTGCTTGAGGCCAAGTTCTGCATACACTAGTCTAACTCAGATATTGGAATCTCTGCATGAACCCACTCACTCACGTAGTTGGGACCTTCGTTTGAACTCTCAAACTCTAGATTGCGAAATACACACGGTTCCATCGTGTGTGTGTGTATGTATATATATATATATATATAAATAAAGAGAGAGAGAGAGAGATAGTTGATACGCCTTGGTTTCTACAAGTCCAGAAGGTCCGTCCAGTTTGCAACGAAGAAGAGAAGGAAACCGTAGATTTCCAGGTACAAATACTTGTAGGGGAGGAGAGAATTGTACTCGAATTTTATCATTGAGTTTTGGATCTGAAGTCAGCCATTACGAGGTTTGTGTCCCAGCAGTAGGCATACCCCCAGTCCAGCGGCCCTGCTGTTATACAGTATTGCCACCGGGGTTTTGGATTGACTGAATACTGGCAAATATACATCTTCCTGCCAAGTTAACGACTGGATAGGTCAGCATTCATGGAAGAGTGTAGTCCCTTAAACTACTACGCTATGTGAAGGGCTATCATAAACTCTCATTATATTGCACTTCGATCGTCCTTGGCAAACATTTATAATTAAAAGATTTGAGGGCGTACGAGTAACTGTCACTTGTACAGTACTGGAAGAAATTTCACAGCCTTCTAACTTCATGCCGAGAGGGTAAGTGCTCTATTTTAAAAAAGAGGGTATAATGCTTGCTAGCAGTTTTGATATATTCCCCTTGAGATTCTCTCGTGATACACGTCTCTGGTATCATTTTCTCAAGGCCAGATCTTGACCTGTCCAGCTAGATTTGCGGTTTCCACGTAGCAGTCTAAGCAATGTTTCGCAAACGAGCCTGCTCACTGACTAAAACGTAGCTATGATAGATCGGTATAAACGTGAAAGAAGAGTCCACCAGTTCACTAGCGAGAACACTAGGGAGCTGAAAAGCTTGAATATTCGAAACTGGAAATGACCGATCAATTACACAAGAAATTGCAAAATAGTGCTCACGGATTGAATTATTAGGACCATCCCCTTCCAGCTGGGTATTTGAAGCATTCCAGTTTAAAGTTATCTAGTTTAGTGTAATACGTAACGCTACATTCAAACTTCTTGAGTCTGACAAGTTATCTGAAATTCGTCTCTACCGTCGACTGTGGTCAGTATATAATCGTGGCTTCACTATCCGATTTCAATCTCAACGGATGAAATAACTTGTGACTCGCTTGAAGTGAAGGTTGTCGAATAACTAGACGTCACGACATGATTCTTTTGTTTCACCGATGAAGTCATGCTGATGTTTGCCAGTTTCATATACCCACCCTATACGTAAAACCAAATTTTAGATAATTTCAGTCTGCTGTTAGTAACTTTTTTCTCCGAACCTATTATGGAAGATTAGCCAAGTCTGTTGCACCTACCCTAAACAGCTGGACCCGCTGAGTTCCAGTTAAGAATCAAGCATGAATGTCGGGCCTGACACCTTTGTAAACTCATATCTTAGATTAACCACATAATTATCAGTAACTTCTTCACAAATTTGAGGACTATGGACCCGTCATGTGGAGGACAAAGTATTACCAAAGATGCTTGGCCCACCACAAATCACTCGGTCTTAACTCTGAGTCCGTGAAACAATTGCTGTATAGCGAATCTTTCAAGGCACATATCAGCACGATATTGATACAGCTTATTCGTTTGTCAGAAGACTGCGCGAGAATTTGGAACTTGAAGCCGATTTATGCACAGACATAAGAGGCGAGAAGTTCACTTAAGCAAGATTTACTGCTAACATCTATAAAGTTAAAGAATAATAAATGGTCGGTCTTCTCTTCTGTCATGTATCAATTGTCTTCGCTACACCTTCATACTAAGAACTAGCATCGGACTCAGCGAAATCAATCATAGACTGAGATCAAGGAGCTCAATTTGAAGTCTATCTTGGTAATCCAAGTCCTCGTCATGCAGAGTCAAGTCTTAATCAGGTGTAGATTTGACACTGTGAAAATCAATAAAATATCATCGACAGAAGAGCACCACAGATCCTCATCGAAGTCTGAGTCATTTTCTCCTCTTCACCACTACTGAAACCAGATTATAAGATGCATCAGGATACACATGTGCAGATCCAAAACCACATTTTTAACCATACTGCGATTGAAATTCAATTCCCAGAATGCCTGAATTGGAATGACACATCTGCAATACTTGATGTGCCCACAATAATTTCATGATGTTATAGAGCCACTTAGAAAGCCAAGTGATCTCAAATGGACCGACCAAGAGTTACAAACAGTAAGAAACAGTTAGATCGCAAGAGATTGGAGAAGACGAGCTGGACAACAGGCAGCCAGCTTTTTCCAGGAAGAAGTCAATCATTTTTAAAAATAATTTCATTTCTAGTCTCGGAGAGCTTGTTTTTTTTTTCTCTTTCGGTTGTTGTATTTGGAGTGAATTTAGATCCTTACAAGGTCCTACAATATATCACAAGATACGAAATCGGAGATTGCCTCTCTACAGTAGTACACCTGGAGCTGAGCGTAGTATTTAAAGATGTTAGTTACGAGCAAAGGAGCAAAGGAGCAAAGGAGCAAAGGTTCAGTACAGTATCGGAGACCATCTCAGAGGAATGAAAAGTCTCACACGAGCTGAAGAGTGTACCGTGCACTGATTTGGCTGCCGGATTCCTCATAATAAATTAATTCATCCTCGAAATGGTCCGTCGTTGACTTGCTCGACCTGCATACCAGGCGTTGTTCCAGACATTGTTCATTTCATAATTCGATCTCAGTTGGCGGAATCACCGATAATTTTGGTTCAAAAATCTGTGAGTGTTGCATCACAGCTGAGGTCAGATTCGAGCTGTCTAATGAGGTAAAACCTCGCCCCCAGATAAACATGCCATCTAGAACTAGAATCTCCATTCTAAATCAGGATGAAATGCACTCACTACAATAAATCAGATAAATGTTGAATACATTAAAGTAACTTAACATCATGAGTTGACCTATTAGACGATTTTAACATGATGACACATTGGAAACTTCTTTCACTTATCTTCAGGATTTCAAATCACTTATTTTTCAGTTCTTTTCCTATCTGACCAGCTTTTTTTATATTTATTCGTACGTGTTACTTGATGAAGTATATTGAATTTTTTGTAGTTAGTTTCAAGATCAAATATTTATTGGTATTAGTATTTCTTATTTAAACTGTGAATGTATAATAAGTTTCCCATTCATATAATATATACATATATACAAAAAATTTATTTTATATATTTTAGCATCGTTTATTTCGGTCAAAAGTTTTTAATTATCAACCTTCAGGATTTTATATTGGATAGTGGGTGATAACTAGATCCCTTTCATATATGTCCTGATTTTCTCTTAGATTCAGACCATGCTTAGATGAATAAGAAATACGTAAATTGAATTACATGTTAATGATCATAGCTCAATACTTATAAAATTTAGCGTCTCTTGTAGTCACCAGCAGCAACTTCGGTTCAAATCTGTGGTTGTATATGAAAACTGGGTATAGTATATTGCTACTCAAAGTAATCAAATCAGTAAGTGCACCTTGCTCTTGTTCTTTTTGTTCCTCAATCATCCAACCACT